TTTCGTCCATGGTAAGACCGCCGTGCAAACATGGGACAAACCACCCGGCAGGTGTAACCGCCCCATAGACTGGATCTAGGGACCTGTGATAGGTGTCAGACATTCATAAAACCATGAGTCTGAATTCTGAAGGGACTAATGACGATTCCATCACACCTCTCTGCTCCGGCCAAAGGTCAGTGCCACTGGCAAACAATGCGGGCGACGGACGCGACGCGACACCCCTGGCCATGCCGTCACCACCGCTGTCACCGCCGCGCCTGGCCGGGCCGGGCCGGGGCGCCCCTCCATGCTGTATCGATCCGGCGGGCGTCGCCGCCCTTTAACCGGCGGGGTGGCGGCTGCTTCCTGCGAGCGGCGGCGGCGGCGGCGGCCACCCTTCTCACAGCCGCCGCCGCGGCCGGCGGTCGCCGACTCCCAGTCAAGGTCTGCTCAAGGGTACGGCGACGAACGGGCGGCGGCGGTAGTGGACGGACCGCCATGGGCCAGCCATTCGTTCATGGGTAAACCATGTCGCCAACCGGGCGCTCTGAGAGAACAGCACGGACAGGAAACTGGAGTCAGGACTCAGGAGTACGACCAGCGGCGTCGTTATCGAGTACGTGTCGTCCTATGAAGAGATAATCCGGGGAATACCGCCGACCAGTTTTTGTCCTGTGGTGTTTCCCTGTTTTCCTGTCAGTGGTCGGTGCCTGATAGTCCGCAGCCCGCAGGCTCGGTGTGATCTGACAGGCCGGACACCACACCCTCGGGCCCAAAATAACAGGGCGATAAGTGAGATCGATCGTCACACCCTTCAGGATTTTGTCAGGCAAAATGACTCAGGACCAGCGAGGAAACTATCAGACATCTGTCACCGCCAGAAAATTGTCACGTAACTAGCCTTCATACCATTCACTTCAGCCCGGCCACGAAACTGATAGATGATGATCGACTACAACAACAGTTTGCCACAGCCTGAATACTCACTCGAACATAAAAGACGATCTCCACCGCGAATCTCAGTTGCGGCTGACTAAAATCAATACCGATTATCTCAATCCGTGACGATCCAACAATCCAGCCACTTTCACACTCTGCATTATATTGAATTTGTTTACATGATCAATGCGGAAGTTCAATTAGTAACCAGCCGTGGCAACATTCAAACATACAGGGTGGACCAAAAAGGATGGAAACATTTTAAACTCGTATAAAATATGTATCATTACATGCACGTGGCTGGGAATGATACCAAACAAGAGTACATTTCGTGGAAATTCATAATGGCATCACTCTCATATGCTTTCTCTCGTTTTCAGTCTCTCACAGCAGATGTTCGAAATGACCACCTTCGCGAGACAGGCACAGAGCGACCAGCCTGGCTGCTGACACGATAGCCCGCTTGTATGGCTCACACAGCCTTGCTGATCGCTCTCTTCAGTTCAGAGGCTTTCTGAACCTTCCTTGTAGACCTGGCCCTTGAGATGACCCCACAGTAAAACATCCATAGGGTTCAGGTCGGATGAGCAGGTAGGCCAGTTCCGACTGGCACCGCGGGATATCAGCCGGTAACCGAAGTGGTTTTCGATGCACTTGAGCGTTGTTTTTGCGATGTGAGGAGGCGCACCGTCAGTGCTGGAACCACATAAGGTGTATGATGAGGCTGCCATGCTTCGTTTGGACTCGCTCTCAGAACTTCCTCAGCGCCGCCTGGTATGCGCTGTTGATTGACGGTCACGGTGTCGCCGCTCCCTTCCTCGAATCAAAGTGGACCCACGATTCATTTTCCGCTGAGGGCACACCATTTCGGTGATCTTGCTGCTGTGCAGTGACTTCTCTATCATCTCATCTCAAGGGCCAGGTCTACAAGGAAGGTCTCTGTGACCTGAAGAGAGCGATCACCAAGACTGTGTGAGCCATACCAGCGAACATGTGTCGTCGGGCTATCGCGTCAGCCACCAGACCGGCCGCTCTGTGCCTGTCTCGCAAAAGTAGTCTCTTCGAACATTTGCTGTGAGAGACTGAAAACGAGAGAAAACAGATGAGAGTGATGCCGTTATGAATTTCCACGAAATGTACTCTCGTTTGGTACCATTTCCAGTTACATGCATACAATAATGCATGTTTTATGCGAGTTCAAAATGTTTCCATCCTTTTTGGTCCACCCTGTAGACCCCAGTTCGAGAATTAGGTAGGTTTTTCGGGAAGTCGCGTTTCTCGACGAGATCCTTATATCAGCCACAGGACGACGACAAAAGGACACGGACAGGAAGCAAAGAGCAAAAACCCACAAAGATACAAAGCAGACAGACAGACATGAGACAGACGTCGCATATCACGATCTTAAACAATGATTCAGAGCTAGACTACATCAGTGGGTTCAACTCTTTGAGAACAACAGGCTTCCAGATGGACCAGAAACAGACAAACAAACAGACAGACAGACAGACAGACAGACAGACAGACACAGACAAGCTGAGCACCACAGAGGCCAGCTGTGTGATAACTCGCCACGGTCACGAATGCCAATGGCAGATTATCACGACCACGACCGCCATAGACGGACCACCACGACCACGACCGTCACAGACAGATCACTACGACCGTCGGTGACGCCCACCCCGCTCACGAGTCGTTCACGAGTCACGACAGTCACGGCCCACCACGGCCGTAAGTGACAGCCACAGACAGTACCGGAGTCCGGCCGCGCCTACTGCCGGGTTAGGTGGAAAGCAAGGCTCGGAGACATACTTTTTACCTATCATGGGAATGGACACCGTCAAGGAGAAACAGACTAAGTTTCAGCCGCACCGCTCTTGACCGGTACAATACCCAAAACTCCTTGGAGCGCTGATGATAAGAGGAAGAACAAACGCAGTTCCAAGTGATACTGAAAAGCATTATAAATGAACTCGCTTGTGTCATTTGTTTTTGCCAAAACACCTTCCACAATCACTCTCCGTAGCAGAGCAGACGCTCAAGTCAGTCAGACAAGTTTGTCTCTTGAGTCAGCATTGCTGAAGACGTCTGTCTCAGTAGCTGGTGGCGCCGTCGTCACAGATGGCGCCACCAGACGGGCGCACACCTCACTTTACCCCGTACACCTCTACCTGCCACTCTCCGCTCAGTTAGCCTCAGTGAGTCCGGGGCAGACCAGACCCTGGGTCAGAGCCACGCAGATCCGGCATACGCCAGCCCCAACCCTTCCGACATCACCCAATCAGCCGCTGCCGCAGAAAGTCCCACCCCCGCCCGGGGACAGCCCGGGGCGAGCCCGTCATGCAAGGAGAATGTGCCACATTTACTGCACCAACTGCCAGCGTCGTGCTACTGCAACTGCATTACGAGGTATAGAGCCGCCGGCTACTAGCCCTGCAGGTATACCGAATACGGACACGGATCGGCAGCCAATGGAATGTTTCCATCGCCACCCGACCATGAGAGGAGAGGACAGTAGGCGTAGGTTTACTGCCAATGCACGAAAGATTTCTTGATATCGATATTTTACGAAAGATTGACAAATATTTCATATTAATGAATGGTTGCATGTGTAATTACTTCATATGTCATGAACTGAAATTAAGAGCGTACAGAATTTCCAGCCGAAACGGACTTCATATCCCACTCCACAAACGGATCAGCAAAGGAGAGGACCAGAGCCAAGTTTCATGGAGAGTGTCTGAGTAGTGAACATGGGAACAGGCGCGGTCACTGGGTCCGTGTGCTCACCAGCACAACAGCGTGATCAAAGGGCACCCGCGACCATCCAACCGACCAAACCAACAAACCCACTGGATGCGGCACAGACTGACTGCCAGGGATAGTGGGTGGGAGGGGTGGAACGAACATTCGTGCAGGTTGGATAAGGCGCAATTTGGCTGTGGCAGATGTCGGGAAAGTTTGAAGGATATGACCCGGCTGCCCTGATAGCATAGAAATCGGCTGCCTAGGTAGGTAGGGCGGGGTAATTTGGTGGGATACCAGAGAATTGACGATCGATTGATGACAATTCGTGATCCAGCTCACCAATAGATAAATGATAAATTCATTGGTCTAGAAATAACATTAGTAATCACTGAACATCATTTATCCCCTAATGCGAACTATCGCCCAAACACTTCACATTGCTGGCACATTGCGTCCGCCCCCTAAACCTTCAATTGAATCGCATAAACCTTTGTTTCAATCTCCAGAACTACGCGACAACACCCCACCCCCAACACTGCATTTCCCTTCCCCAGGCGGTCGAGGAAAACGTAGCTACTGCCACCTGCCCTCCCCCTCCCAAGAGGAGGGTGCAATCAACTAATGGCCAACCACGCGGGTGGCAGCAGTGAGGAAGGAAGTACCGAAGGCGACCAGAGCTTCGTGATAAGGGCAGTCGGCCACGCAGGTGATGTGTCGCTTGGGCAGAGGGGAGAGCAAAGAGGAGAATGGAGAGAGAGAGAGAGAGAGAGAGAGGAGAGAGAGAGAGAGAGAGAGAGAGAGAGAGAGAGAGAGAGAGAGAGAGAGAGAGAGAGAGAGAGAGAGCCAGCTCCGCCTCAGTGCAGTACCAGTGTTTGGGGACATTGGGACTCGCCGTCTCTCGTCACCACGGCACGATACGTCCAATACGGGAGCTCCCGTGAGCCGGCTGGCGCCCGAGGGATACGCCAGGGCACTATTACCGGCCTCCATAACGTCCCGGAACAGAGTGGCAGGTAGGCGGCCAGGTACGCCGGTAATGTCCTCAGAGACGGTCCCGACCAGCGGGCCAACTATTACGCACATGCAGCCCAGTCTGCCTAATGAGACTACCGAGACCAGGCGGCACTGGAGACTCAGAACGAGTCAGGGCTCTGGGGAGGCCGGTCTCTGAGAGTCAGATGTTCTCGTTCCTGGCTCCATCACAGGGTGAGCCCGACGCACGTCATCACGTCACGCTTGGTCCTCTGGGAGCGGCACGTCAGGTCGTAAGGGGTCACGGAAGGGGTCACACCACATCACACGGTCCCACAGTGTCCCCAGCTCGGACTGACCTTCATCTGGTGGTCGCCGATGCCCGGCTCCGGAGGCGGCATTGACGCGCCCCGATGGTGGTCATACAGTCCCCGCGCCTGCCGGTCGCAGAAAAATTCATATGCTCAGTGGACAAGCAAGGGACAACAGCAGTGACAGGAAAAAGTGAGGCATACATAGGCAAGCACTTCAACTTATGGGCCAGCGTTTATAAACAACTGTGACATTAAATCTGCATTCCAAAAAGAACCACAGGCTTGGCAGTTCAAAAACATGGAAAAGAACAATGATAAATGTAACGACAGTTCCTGCTGAAAACATTACTAACTAAATACCTACACAAGAAGAGGCATGAGGCATCAATTACCCATTTAAGCATATTTTCAGCTAAGTACTAACCATTCGGAGTCAGCTGACTGCTCGTTAACTCGCTATGGATTCAGAATTGGAGCAGTGATATTGTCCAAAGCCGCTCCCGCCCGTAAAACACACCGTGACATCCCTGACGGCGCCAGCCCAAAATGAGCCAACCATGACTCATCTAACGGCTAACGCGTCTCCTATCACAAAAGGCCTTCAAGGATGAGGCGTCAATAATGAGTCCCGAGGATCAGGCACGCTACAGCTGCTCTCTCACCCCGATGGCCGAGTCGTCTCCAGTGCTCCAGCGCATCACGCCCGCCTGGTACTCGGGGTCGTGGCTGCGCTGGTACATGTACGCCACGCGCGCGTCGTCCTGGCTGCCCGGGTGGTAGCCGGCCGGCGGCCCGGGCGGGCAGTGCGGCGGAGGCGGCATCTGGTAGACGGCCGGCGGTGGGGGCATCGGTGGCCCGCCCGCGCCCTCGGCTCCGCGCGCGCTCATAGCTGCAGCTGCTGGCGTTGGGCCGGCATTGTTCCACCGCATCGAACCTGCAACATGGCCGGGAGTGAGTGAGCAGCAGAGCAAAATGAAAAGATGACGCACTGCACCGCAACAGGGCCATGAGAGGACAGTGAACAGCCCTGCTGAGTGAATTAATAATGCCATAGTTCGGCACATTGTCAACATCTGCAATACAGTGAATGATGTTTGTGAAGGAATGGCTATGTAAGGATTTTTATTGTAATAATCAAGCCAAATGCTTTCACAGCCAGCAGTTCTTAACAGCAGAAGTTTGTGAGGCAGCACAATAAATAACAAGCATTTGAACATGCTCTTCTCTCAATGCCGCAGTGGTCCATGGGAAGGGGGTGGGACGAGGACGGGCAGGGGTGCTTCAGTAAATGGGTGCAATGGCTTGATTCAGGGAAGAATAAAAAGGCATCAAAGCACTAAGGGAATGTGGCAGATGTCTCAGCCATGGCTAAGCGCAAGTTTGACAGTCAGACAGCAACAACCAATGCCTCAGAATGACATCAGCCAGCTGGGTGAGGAGAGAGACCAGGGACACTGAGAGTGAGAGATGGGGCAAACGCCAAACAAACAGCCACTATGCAGCAGCTTGTGATGGCAATGAGCTTTGTGGTGTTTTTGAGAGCTTTGTAGGTACTGTGAGCCTGAACTCTATTAACCATATCTGACCCATTACTTAAGCTTAAAGGGACCCTCCCACCTTCAAAAAGTTTATGAATTGGCATGAAAGTGATGTCGCTCGGTTCAGAAAGAGCGAAAACGAATATCTACCAAATTTCACCGAAAAATATTCACCGGTTTTCAAGATATTAGACTTTTACTTTTGTTTACTTTTTTGGGATCTCCGCTGTTTCTAGCGACTTTATTTTAGAAGTGCGGCGTTTGCGGCAGATGTTGCGCACAAATAGCATATACCACCGCGTGCTACAAAACGTTTTAGTCAAACATTTAAAAATCGTTAGATATTTGCGCTGACGTCACACATTCAGAGGGGTATTCCTAAGCATTAGCCCCTCTGAATCAAAATGCTGCAATTTTGAAATTCAATATTTCCGGTTTAAGGCATTTCTCGATGTTGTGAGTGCCGAAACCGGTAATTGTGAGCCAGGGACCCCATTTTGGCTATCTCAACTCAAATCTAATGTTAAGGTGGGAGGGTCCCTTTAACTACCAACCCATCCATGCCATGGGCCCATGGTTTTGCTGCTCACGGAATGCACTACAGCCTGCAGCAGCAAACAGCGCTCCAGAGGGGCGTTCACGTGCACCGCACACTGCTGCGTGCGGTGTGTGCGGTGCGTCCAGCAGGCGTGGGGGTAGGGGATGGGTAGGCGGTTCTGACGTCACGGCTGCGTGCGGTGGACAGTCCGCTGTGGACGGTCGTCAAGTTAGATGTAAGTGAATCCTAATCTATAATCTAAGATTCGGAATCAGGTGAGCCCCTACGATTTGGACCAAACTTGGTCAGTGGATAGTACGTAACGTCCTGATTACGATGCACCCAAAATCTTAGCTCGGCCCGCCATATTTACGAAGTTACGGATGTTTGAATTTCAAGGTCATTCGGGAGAGCCCCTACGATTTCCGTCAAAATTTGTGTACGGACACTCTAGATGCTCCACATTACGAATATCACAAAATTTAAGCTCGGCCCGCCATATTTACGAAGTTACGAAGGTTTGAATTTCAAGGTCATTTGGGTGAGCCCCTACGATTTCCGTCAAAATTTGTGTACGGACACTCCAGACGCTCCTCATTACGAATATCGCAAAATTTAAGCTCGGCCCGCCATATTTACGAAGTTACGGAGTCACAAAGTTACGGAATTTCAAGGTCATTCGGAGAGCCCCTCCGATTTTCGTCAAAATTTGTATGCGGACACATTACATGCTCCTCATTACGAATATCATAAAAGCTAAGCTCGGCCCGCACTATTTCAAAAGTTAGAGATGTTTGAATTTCAGTGAGTTTCAAACGTCAGTAACTTTTGAAATAGTGCGGGCCGAGCTTAGCTTTTACGATATTCGTAATGAGAAGCATGTGATGTGTCCGCATACAAATTTTGACGAAAATCGGAGGGGCTCTCCGAATGACCTTGAAATTCCGTAACTTTGTGACTCCGTAACTTGAAAAATATGGCGGGCCGAGCTTAACTTTTATGATATTTGTAATGAGGAGGATGTAATATGTCCGTATACCAATTTTGACGGAAATCGCAGGGGCTCACCCAAATGACCTTGAAATTCAAACCTCCGTAACTTCGTAAATATGGCGGGCCGAGCTTAAATTTTGTGATATTCGTAATGAGGAGCATCTAGAGTGTCCGTACACAAATTTTGACGGAAATCGCAGGGGCTCTCCCGAATGACCTTGAAATTCAAACATCCGTAACTTCGTAAACATGGCGGGCCGAGCTTAGATTTTGGGTGCATCGTAATCAGGACGTTACGTACTATCCACTGACCAAGTTTGGTCCAAATCGTAGGGGCTCACCTGATTCCGAATCTTAGATTATAGATTAGGATTCACTTACATCTAACTTGACGACCGTCCGCTGTGGCCAGTCCCGACCGGCCACAGCGAACGCTGTGTGCGGTGATGGAAGGCTGACATAGGGACGAAGTGGGCGGAGCTTCGAGGCTGTGTGCGGTCCGACCGCACACAGGGCCCGTGAACAGCCGTCTGACTGGCTAATAATTATTGCCAGACATAACCCAGGGTCAGGGTATGATGGACACACCAGAGAGCAAGATCTATGCTGCACAATATTGAACAGTCTTAAGTATTAAATCTATTATCTTTCCCAACACACTACGAAGCATGATTTTAACAGAAGCACTGCTGATTGCTGAAAGTGAAACTGACATCGATAAAAAAGAACACTTTGGCTTAAAACAAAACAAATAAATACATTTACCTTTCAGTCACAGTAATGAAGAAAATCTTGACTTATCGAAGGAATTCGAACTTCAAATTATTGGCGTAGTATTCCTCAGCCAGCAACGTGCGCCGCGCGCGCAGTGATTTGTGTCAACTGTCAGAAAGTCGCGCCACTTTGAGTGTGAAAAGTGTAAACAGCTTCATTTGTATACAACTTCTGTTACAGCTAGAAGTTGACGTCATAGAAATGAGGTTTTCAACTTGATATATTTCTAGAAAAGCTATATTTCAGCAGGAATTATTTGTCCAACTAATAGTTCATAGATGTGCTTAACTATCTTTAACTTAAAGATAGGACTTTAGGGGAATAACAAAAAAATTATCATCCTTATCTTTACACTTATGCCTCTTTTTAATGACGTCAGTAGGCAGTTATTCTTTTTGAGGTGTATTACCTTCAATACCGCTGATTACGCGCGCTCTAGCGTTCCTATCAAAGTCCACAGAGTTGCATGCCTATGTGCATGCCAATATATTGACATCAATCAAAGGTCCCAAAGCGAGAATATATCCACAAGGCTTGTTTCATTTTTACGAGCTCAGACTGATGCTGTGGAGGTAGGTACTATTTTTTTACAATTTATGGAAGTGCTGTGATGGGAAATTGCTAGTACTCTGTTTTTCTGTCTATTCTTGATCCATATGTTATTTTCAGTTGAACCTTTTTCACTAGCTTCTCGCTGTATGCATATCATTAGAGTTTGGCAGGTGGCTCACATTCAGAATTTGTACCATTGGATACTCTGTTTCAATTGTGACTTCCATTCAAGTGTTTTCTACTGACCCGCCAACACCATTGTTGTGTGTTACAGAGCACATTCTCTTCATCTTGGGTATTCATATTAAGGTGTTTGTGCTTGTCAGTGCCCTTATGTTTATTAAAGGGACCCTCCCACCTTCTAAAAAGTTAATGAATTGGCATGAAAGTGATGTTGCTCGGTTCAGAAAAAGCGAAAACGAATATCTACCAAATTTCATAGAAAAATATTCACTGGTTTTCAAGATATTAGACTTTTACTCTTGTTTACTTTTGGGATCTCCTCTGTTCCTAGCGACTTTATTTGAAAGTGCGGCACTTGTTGCGCGCAAAGCGGAATATACCACAGCATGCTAGGTACCAAACGTTTAAGTAAAAGATTTAAAATCGTTAGATCTGCTCTGACGTCACAAATTCTAAGGGGGCATTCCAATGCATTAGCCCCTTAGAATCCGAAAACTGCAAGTTTGAGATTCCATATCTCCGAATTAAAGCATTTTTCGATGTTGTGAGTGCCCACTGCCCAAACCGGTATTTTCAGGCCATGGCCACCAATTTGGCTATCTCAACTCAAAACTAATGTTAAGGTGGGATGGTCACTTTAAAGCCTGGTTGTAAAGGTTGCTACTTATGCATTATTGATGCATTAATGCATGAGAAGTTTTGGCATACCTATTACAATTTGACATGGTTTCTATAGCCGTCCAATAGCTATTCTTGCTAAGGTTATGTCCTCATCAGGAGGCAATACACTGATATGAAGTGGCTATGCACCGTCTGTGGCTATGGCTGATATGCACCAAATTGTAGAATGCATAAAAGTGTTTGAGAGAGAACTAACACTTGATGTTTGTTTCAGGTGCTCTCAACAAGATGGCTGATATAATAATATTAAGTGATGATGACTTTACTCCTCCTGCTGCTCAGCAACACAGAAAAGGCACATCAGACAGCAAGAAAGATAAGACTGCAAAACAGTGGAATGACATATTTTCATACAAATCACGTCGAGACAAGGGACACCATGGTTCTCAGTCACACTATTCCTCTCATCGTTCATCGGAGCGTTCCTCCCATCGTTCGTCGGAGCATTCTTCCAGGGCTTCATCTGATAGGTCGTCTCGGCACTCGAGCCACCGCTCGTCGGATCGGCGGGCGAGCCACCAGTCTCCCTCCCATCGGGACAAAGGTCGGCGCGAAAAGGAGCGGACGTCCTCGGGAAAGAGCATCATCACGCTCTATCTCTCAGACGACGATCAGTCGCCTGCCCGGACTTCTAACAACGCCTCTTCTAAAAAGTCATCTAGCAGGGATCCAAAAGAGAGCACGAGTTCCAAACATTCACAGAAAAGCTCGCATCATTCTGACAAAAGTTCAAATCACCATCGCTCGGAGAGGAGTTCCGAGGATCGTCACTCGAAATCAGCGAGCCATCATTCTAGCGCAAGTTCTCACAGTAGCCCATCCAAACATCCCTCCGTAAAGGTGACGCTCACTAAGCTCTCTTCTGATAAGGCCCCTGCGAAGGTCTCTTCCTCTGGGGCGAAACCCGCACATGGTGGCACGCCCAGTGGTTCAGAAACGGTCAACGGCCGTCACTCGGGCAGTCGCCGTTCGTTGGCTGCCGAGCTCGGTGTGACCAAAGCTGACTGCAGGCGGGACGATGACGCAGAACCGCTCAAACCCCGTGATCGTCACCTGCCGAACGGCGAGTGCTCCAAGTCTGTCGCGGATGACCGCACCGCTCGCTCCAAACGACCGGCTGGTGATGCTGGCGGCGAGAAGGCCATCCCGGAGCCCAAGCGTGCACGCCTGTGTCGCGTTGACCAGAAGACTGAGGAGACGTTGAAGCCGAAGCCGGAACCGGAACAGAAACCAGAGCCGGACCCCTGTCAGGAGGGCCTGGAGGAGGTGTGCACGCTGCTGAAGCCGCTGCTGTCCGGGCCCGAGCTGAAGATAGAGGCGAAGGTGCGGCGCCGCCACGCTGCCGTGCTGGCGCTGACCAGCGGGCGTCCCGGGCGTGTCCAGCACCTGATCGGTGTGACGCGCCAGTGTGTCGAGCGGCTACGTGCAGAACCGGACCGCTGCTTCACCGTGGTGCGCGGCTTCCTAGAGCAGCTCGACCAGTTCAAGATCGTGGCTTCGTCGGCACAGAGCCGCACCGCGCCGGGAGCAGCGGTGAAACCAAACGCCGGCGCGGTCAAGACTGATACAGCAACGACGAATAATATCGCCAAAGTCGCAGACAAAGTTGACAAATCGAAGAAAGCTAATGCAGGCGACGCACCGAAGACATCGACCTCACCCTCTGCGACAGTGAACGGCTCTGCAACGCTTTCTGAGGAGGACGAAAAGGAGAAACGTAGACATCGACGTCACGTGGCCAAGTTAGAGAAGACGCTGCGCCGGCTGGAGCGCGAGATCGTGCGTCAGGAGGAGCAGGAGGTGGACTGGGATGACGCCGCCGGCTCGTCCTACATCGTGGGCGCGCGCCTGAAGCGGCGCTACGTGCAGGTGTACCGCTACTACTGCCGTCTGGTGGGCGCCGCCGAGGAGGCTGAGAAGCTCGACTCGCGTCGCATCCGCTTCGACGGCACCCGCTACCCGGAGATCAACCGGCGCATCGAGAAGTTCGTCAACCGCACTCGCGAGTTCCCCGACTTCAAGGACGTGCTGAGTCTGATCGAGCAGGCCAACCAGCGTTGTCGGCTGCAGCTCGGCCCGACAGCGCTGCACGACCAGGCCAAGGAGGCGTTCCAGCAGCTCGGGGCACTGCTGCAGAAGCGGCGCCGCGCCGCGCTCGCAGAGTCCATGGATGCGCTGACCGGCGCCGAGGAGTGGCGCGGCCGCGACCCGTCCGCCGCAGATCCGACTCTGGGCGAGAAGCTAGCTCAGAGCGCCGCTGAGGGTTCCAAGAAGCTCAATGAGGTGTTTAGCGAGTTTGTGCAGCGTCAGGAGACGGTGGATGCTGAGCGGCGGATGAAGCGCGCCGAGACGGACAAGGACGGAGACGGGAAGAAGGAGGAAGAGAACGAGGACGAGGACGAGGATCAGGAGGACGAGGACACAGAGGAGTCTGAGGTGACGGACGAGGAGCTGGAGGTGAACCGTGAGGAGCCGGCCGGCGCAGACACTTTCGGTTTGGATGATAGTGATCAGGAGGACGCCCCGATGGATGTAAAGTCGTCCGAAACAGGGGTTGAGACGACGAAAAGAGATGAAAGCAACGGGACAGTGGATGGACCTGAAAATAAAGTGATGATCAACAGTGGGAAAGACGAGAAGACTGATGCGCCTGATTCGCGTAGCGCGGTAAATGTTGAAAATGGCACGGCATCTGAGACGATTGTTGATCTAGTGACCTTGTCTTCAGAGTGCAGTGAGGAGGTGGTTTCCGAGTCCAAGAAAGCTGAACTGCCTGCTAAGTCTCCGGACTCGCTTGCTGGGCCTCAGCGCGTCAATGGCGATGTGGTAGAAGTGAGGGAGGGTGTCAGTTCCTCGGGCACGCCAGTCGACGGCCCCGGGGAGAGGGCATGACGCCGCTCCTGAGCAGCGGCCAGTGCCGACCCGGCACGGCGGACGGGGGAGTGGCAGGGGGGGGGGGGTTGCATGCACACGAACAGTGCATGCACAGTTGTGTGGGAGTCCGTGTTTGTCGTCGTATGTGCTCGTATTCGATCTGGCATTGAATGCATAATATTGAACGTACTTCCATGTAAATTATAATTATTTGTCGCCTACATCTTGATTCTCGATCTAGCCTTTCAAAAAATATTGAACATTGTATACTAAATTGCTTGGAACGATGATCAGGGTATATTCTTATGATCGCAAGCGACCCGTATCTTCTTTCAAATCGGAGCTGGTAATGTGAAATTGAGCAGGGCTATGATGCTTCCCCAAAACCACAGTTTGGCGCCTGAGACCGTATCTTCTCGCATGATTGTATTCGTCACCACTGGGCCGTCACTGTTGGGTGTACATTGCAGCGTCATGTTGACGCTCACGTGGGTTTGAGGGGGTTGTTTGCCGTGTTCGATGCCGCTACCTATCTCCCGTCTTGCCAGTTGTACAGGGGACTAAGCGTGGAAGGCTGTGTCTCACATGGTGTATGTCTGTATGTTCATGTTTGGAGGACACCGGTGTGATTTCGTAACCCGAGTTCTCGGATATGTAATAAACATATGCCAAAAATCGTATTATGCCTGATATCCCCCGGACCTGGGCTGCCCTGCGCTGGATCCATTGCGCTATCTCGTTGGACCTGCCGTCTGCCACTCACCGAGCTATAACTAGCTTCTACCCACTTTCGGACCAAAAACAGCGTATCGTTCCTCCAGTGACTATTCAACACAGTATGGCTCATAACCACAAGACAGGCCACTACTGATACTGAGCGGGCGTTTTGCTGCATCGCCCCGGTGGCGACAGCGCTGCTGTTATTGTCACACTCTCACCTGCCCGCGATCGGCCGTCAAGACAGGCGCGCCACTCGACTGTTCCCTCCCCGAGACTGACTCCTGAGGTCAGACCAGCTGACCGTCTACTCGGCACCCGCACGGCGTCCCTGACACGGCCTCGACCCTGACGATTGCACAATTCGGCATGCCGGCCGTCTCTCCGAACTCGTCTACATTTCCTGACCAGGCGTCCCGCAGTCGCCTCGCTCTCATACATGGCTCAAATCAAACACAGATCCACCGACACCAAAACGCACACGATCCATTCAGATAAAACGTCAAAACTTCCGTGGCAGTCGCTTCCTTCCGCTCAATACGTCTCCTAATTATACCATCGGAAGTGCTCACTTCCGGTTGACGGCCTGGCCGGTGACCTTGTGCGGCAGCTGAACGAATGGTGACACGCCGCGCACCATGTTGTGGCCCAGGTCGTCGCTGTAGATGTCGTACGACAGGTGCTCCATGCCGATCTCTGGGTCGGTCTTGGCCGCGTGCACGGCGTCGTCGATCTCTTTCCGGATCTCGGTGTCCATCTCCTGCGAATTGGCAGAGCGGGATGAGTCACTTCCGCGACTGGCATTAGCAAAGAGCCGTTCAGGTTTTCATACAATGAAAATGTTTTGGCATTCGTTGCGATGATGTCAAGGCATTGGATAACAAGAAGACGTTCAACTCGAGCGCCAGCCGTGAATGTAAAATTTCGACTGATTGCTGTAATTGCTCTGGCAGTGTAACAAGAAGTTATTAAGTCCGCCAATGGATAAAGTTTTAATAAGAAACAACAGATCTGACGCCTTATGGCGATTTTCGAGCAACCATTCAATCCGTCATGTTATTGATCGTTTATTACGATTCAGCGTCGATCCGGCATGTTACTGACTAATTCGATTCAATAGCAACAGCAATAGATTCGATTCAATTCGATTCAATAGCAACCAACCATAGTCTTCACCAGCAGCTGTACGCAATACTTCAGTAATTACCGTCAACTTTACCAGCATAGACCACAACCCACTCCTCACCTTGAGTTCGTCGGCGGTGACGAGGTCGGCGCCGAGGATCTTGTCCCGGAACGAGGTGATGGGGTCGCGGTTCTGGCGCACCTCCTGAATCTCGGCGCGGGTCCGGTACGAGGTGCCCGGGTCCGACATCGAGTGGCCAGAGTACCTGCCAGACGGGGTAGGCAAGGGCGTAGGGGTAAATGAGGCGTCAGTGCCGGACGACCTAGGGTGGTGACGTGGAAAGTCAGTGCCGCCTCCGCCATTGCAGGGAAGTGACTACGAGAGGGGCTAGGGGTGGCAGAATATGTAAAAGGAAATGTTGACATTATTGGAATACGAGATGGCGGAAAAGATTGATCGACTCCGAACGGATATTCTCCAGCAGCGTAACGTCTAACCACGTTATTTGTATTTTGTAGATATCAGCAGCACCGTATGACAACTATGATGCAAGAGAAACAACAACAGGCTATGAAACAAACTTCGTTACACCTGCACATTTGCAGCATTTTCAGATGCAGGTAGTCAACACAACCTGAAGAAGTAGAACTCTAACACGTCTGAATCAAAAAGTTTGCATCTTCGCCATTCAAAGGAATTTAATATCGGTCGGGTTCTACTGGTAAAGCCCCGTTACCTGTAGGTCTCCGTTTCCATAACAACGGGTCCGTTTCCGTTTCGGCACTGTTCGGCGGCCCAGCGGGTGGCCTCTCTGACGGCCAGCACGTCCATACCATCCACCTGGGGACAGAAGATAGACAGAGACACGTTATCACCCGTCCCTGACGGCCAACGTCAATAACGTCCACGTGGGGACTGAGGACAGACAGACACGTCATCACCCGTCCTTCACGGCAGCTCGCACGTTCATACCATCCACCTGGGGACAGGCAGAGGGACATTTTCACCACCAGCCCCACGCACAGGGTCCTTCCCTCAATGACAATACACTCGTTCATCACACAATCATACAGATAGCGATTTCGACTGTCAGGATCGATGGCCACTGGTCATGTATGTATTTAGTCTCAATCGCAACCTACCCACCCACCGCAGCTGAGCACCCCCCGAGCGCCGCCATCCCCCCGCCGCCCACCTTGATGCCCTGGATGAGGTCACCGCGCGTGTAGTAGTCGGTGTTGTGCGAGCTGCGAGACACGGCCGTGCCCATGCCGTAGTGGTTGTTCTCGCAGATGAAGATGACTGGCAGGTCCCAGAGCGCAGCCATGTTCATTGCCTCGAACAGTTGACCCTGCGGACGGAGAAGCTTACTATGCATTTCAGACCCCATGAGACCCTGCTTTTCGGCGATAATTTCTTCAATTTTTGTCCAATGAGCTTGAAATTTTGGCAGACGATATTTCAGCTCAAGCGCCAATTTTTGTCAATATGGTCTCTTAACAAAATATCAAAATTTAGAGCACTTGTCGTTGGCTCGTAATGTTAATCAGTTTTTGCACCCGGATAGAGGCTCGCTCGCTACCGCACCGGATTGGATAGGAGCGCTGGCCAATCACGTTGCGCCGGGCCCAACTAAACTCCGCCCACTGGCCGTGACCGCGATGGGTCTATGCCGCTTCAGTCGGTGTCAGCACCGCGGAGAGGTCGGAGCGGGACCACGTGCTGGAGACAAGTGAAGCTGGCAAAGTTGTTTCGGGACGAAAGCCAAAAAAAAAAAATTATCCGTTTGAGGGCATTTGGTATCCTCTTCACCTTATTTTGGTATTTAAACGTCGAACCAGCTCAGAATATTCAGAATGATCAGAATCAAGGTAGGATCTATTGGAACGGAACCGGCCGTAGAAGGAAAGATGGATAGACTCTTGGACTCTGAACATTTATTTAAGCCGGAGTTGCACCTATCTCATCGTCAGGTTGGGTCAGGTCACTACCCGATTACCTATAAGATCATGTGTAAGCCTCTGCTTGACCCAAAAATATTGATATATTTGGCAGTGCCAATAAATGTTTCTGAGGAAGGCGCAGAAAGCAACAAAGTAGGATGAAGAGTCTCGGGCACGGCCGATTGCCTGGGGCATCGCTCCAGCGAAACGACCGTATTCGTGATTCGTGAAGCGGTGCGGGGCGCCGGGTGGGGCAGAAGCGTAATGTGTCGTATGGTAGAAATGGCCTTTATCGCGGTGTCATGTGTGTGTTATATTGTTAAGACGTGCGCAAAAAGAAATAGCAATGTGGCAGGCGGACGTTGGGCACTACACGAGAACGATCATCAATAAACTCGTATCTTTTTTGTAAAACTTAAGTAACAGTAGGTATGTCCTCAATGGTGAGGAAACTATCTCTAGGCTTTTACTTTTTATGTTTGCATTTCAACACACAAGCTCTGGGGGCAAAGTTAGTCTGGCGACCTCCTCAACCTAAGTCGATGATCAAATGGATTAGTCCTGAAGGTGTTCAGTGCTTAGTTGCACCGGGATGATATAAATCGACCACGCCGGCATACATTCCTAATCAAATTTCATATATCAAACACATAAATTGCATCATGTTAATGGTAATTCTGTTTTGCAATTTTGACGTAGTCTGACGCGATACATAATCTTACGCAATCATTTGAAATCAACAGCGTCTTTTATGCGCGTCTTTTTCACAAGCCCCGAATCTTGTGTGGAAATATATATTTTTTGTGATTGAACAAGGTGTACGTACATTTGTGATAGATAAAATTAGTCGAGGGCTTCAGCTGGTGCGTTACTTATGCGCGCTATTTAGCTCATTCGATGAAGTTACGGCTGCAACGACAACTGCACGGCAGCTACGGTCCATGCGAGCCGCCCCGGTGCGACAGCTACTGCCCCGCCCGCTCCACGCAGCCGACTGACCGGCCAAGGTCACCGCCCCGTCCGCCGGGAGGGCGGAGCTTAATGGTCACGTGTTTGTGACGTCATACCTACGCACGGATAGCCTCTACTCCACTGACTGATTTACGGAGCCGATTTTAACATTACGAGGCAACGACAAGTACCCTAAAATTTGATATTTTGTTAAGAGACCATATTGGCGAAAATTGGCGCTTGAGCTGAAATGTGCATTGTGAAAATTTGAAGAAAAATTGGACAAATAGTAAATAAATTATCGCCGAAAATTAGGGTCTCATGGGGTCTGAAAAGCATAGTAGGTTGTAGGTGACCGTATAGGGGTGGTTGGAACCTGGAAGAATACCAAAGCGAATCGTTTGACTGGAATAGCAGGTTCAATGCCCTCTACGCCCTCCTTCTTGGTAAAGAATAATGGAACACCAAAGGTTACATATGGTTATAAAGCAGAATATCGGCTGGCTGGAAAATTCAGGAGACAGCGGCCTTCAACATATCAGAGGGTTGGTGTCAGTCCTGCGAGAACGATCGACGGCCATCCGTACCTGATTGGCGGCTCCGTCTCCGTACAGTGTCAGGCACACGTTGCCCGTTTTATTGTACTTGTGCGCCAGAGCGATACCGGCTCCCATCGGGCACTGCCGGTGCCAGATAAAGGTGTCAGACAACGGTGTCAGGCAAGCGTCAGACGATACCTAGCGTCAAAATATCAATTGTCACTTATCAGGCTATCTATACTTTCCAGATAAAGGCGAGAAGCAATACGAGCGAATAATGCAGCTATGAATACTGAACTGACATTTTGGTTGCTTAGTAAGTATTGTATTACACCAGAATACTTCATCGGCCCCCCTTGCCCCTAACCACTATGTCGCATATCCCTCCCATCCCTCCCGTCCCTCAAACCGCCATGAGCCCGAGCGCGTCCGTCCATACCTGTGCACCCACGATGCCGTTTCCTCCGTAAAAGTTGGGCGCGTACATGTGCATGGAGCCGCCCTTGCCGCGCGCACAGCCAGACACCTTGCCCGTCAGCTCGGCCAGCACCTGGTGGTTGTGTAGGAGGAGATGGTAATGTTATTATACAGGCGGGAAGGGGATAAATGAACGCTGTATTTACTTTTTATCACACAGACCTATTTTCGATGGAATTGTATTACGAGGCTGTACTCTAGTTTACTGTTAAAAAATGTGCCTGTATGTAGCATTCCATACATCAGACCCTATCGGTTGGCAAAACTCTAGTTATACACTCGAGGATTTGAACCCGCGTTCCCAGGCGACTATACCATCCGGTCGCACGCACCTCCTTTGGCGCGGCGCCCATCTCGTAGGTCCAGCCGTGGCAGCGGTACGCCGTGATGACAGAGTCGCCCTCGATCAAGGCCGCCTTCATGCCCACACAGTTGGCCTCCTGCCGACAGCCACCAACCACACAGACACGGTCAGCGAGATGGGATGGCGTGACGTCAGGTGGGCGGTCAGCTGGTGCGTGACGTCATCGATGGAGAATAATGGAAAGTGGAGTGGGAGCGGGTGGAGCACGGCAGCAGCAGATTGGCTAACAACGAACACAATGGGGTTCGTTTTCTTGTTTGGTTGTACAGTGACTGGTGAGCCTGGTAAGCTATATTAAAAAAAAAAAAACAGCGGCTGCTATGTCCATCTCAAAATATATTCGCGAGGACAGAGCAGAGCGCCAATCTTCCAGTTTCCACGGTTTCTGCAGACGTCTCACAACTCTGCACATGGGTGGCAGCCGGCCGGCAGGCCTCACCTGTCCCGAGTAGAGGTGGCAGAAGCCGCGGATTGCCTTCTCCTTGTACAGGTTGCCGGCGGCCGTCTCCATGCGTCGGATCGTCTGCATGCGCCGGTACAGCTTGAGCGCATCGTCACGCGTCAGCGACACAGTCGCAGACGGCTCCGTCTCGGCGCGGTGCATCAGGGACGGCTGCCGATAGAGACATCTGGTGAGCGACCGAGAAACTAAAGCTTCATAGGATGCTCACTGGTCGTGGCCGGAGTGATACGCGGCTTTCACGGGCGCTTTTCATGCAGCTGATGTGTGAGCTTACGTAACGAATATAAACATTTATAACACCACAAGAGGAGGCAATCGCTGATCAAAGATATTCCAACACTCTTTCGACCAAAATCAAGAAACAAACAAAAGGCAATGAAGGAGCCACATGCCTAAACAGTGTAATAAGCTACCTACTCGGATTGATAGGTAGGTGTCTTTCTCTAAACCACTCATTCAATCCCACATCAATGAGACTGAAATAAGAGTTTGGGACCAGTCTGATACCCCCACCACAAAGCAGTCACAGAAAAGAACAGAAACAAACGGCCAGTCCGGGCGTCACTTACCTTGGTTTCGAACGTATGCTCTGTGCTGAGTTTTTTTGCCGAGGTCACCAGCGGAGAGACAAGTTTCTGAAATAGACCAGGCAGCAACAGCGTTATAACGATTGTATCCGGTCATATCCTCAAAAGGAAGTACAGCCTTCAGGATCAGCGGAGCCAAGACGAGGCCGAATTACGTCCAATCTAGCAATAGAGTAACGTGGTCTAGACAAGTTTGCTGATAGGCGAAGATGGGAAAGGTTTGGAAATGATAAGTTATTTTTCATAGGTAATGTTTTGAGCATTAGGTTGTTAAACCTTGTATCAGTGGCGGATCCAGAGGGGGGCATGGGGGCCATGCCCCCCCCCCCCCCTGGGACTCCCGGGGGCACCATCACGGAGGTTTTTTTTTTAATTCATCACGGAGGTCACCGGCGGGAGCTTTAACCCAGAGGTCTCCTAAGGGGGCACCATCCAAAAGGTCTATCGGAATAGGGTACCGTTTTCGGGGTCTCCCGGAGGCCCATTTCTGTCCCTCGCCTCGGGTGGGGCTGAGGTCCGCGGGGGCACCATCTCGAGTTCTCCGGGGGCACTATCCCGAGTTCTCCGTGGGCACCATCCCAAGGTCGGAGGGGGCACCATCTCGAGGGTCCGGGGGCATCATCCCGAGGTCTCTGGTGGCACCATCGCGACTCGCGAGGTCTGGGGGCACCATCCCGAGGTCTGAGGGCAGAGGTGGCACCACCCCGAAGTCTGCCTCCGGGGGCACCATTCCAAGTTTCCAGGGGCACCATTTCGAAATCCGAGGTCTGAAGGAGCACTCCCCCAGGGTCTGAGGGGGCACCATCCCGAAAAGTAAGTGGCCGAAATCCGTGTTTTTTTGGGGGGAGGAGGGGCACCAAATACCAGGGGGAACAATACCGTATCCCCCCTTGACGAAATCCTGGATCCGCCACTGCCTGGTATGTCCGCATATTAAGGAAATGTCACAAGATTTATAGGATAACAAAGTTAAGATTCATCTTTTTTTTGTAATGACCACTTGGCCGATAAAAAAGGGCAAAGATGAGCGGGAAATAGTAAACAAGAAAAAAGCTTGCAACCACATTGTGACTGCGATTCCAACGCTACATTTAACAAACATGACATCAACCGAAGAAACATTGGCATGCTAAGTGAAACACCTGACCACAATTGAACACAATACAGGCATAAATCTAGCTAAGTATTACAATGACGGTCAAATTCAAAGGGTTGGCAGAAGTGCAGAACTGAATGATAATAAAGGGACAATGGCTCCAAATATTGCATTGCTTCCAACCAAAGAAGAATCGCAGCAAAAATATTCTGTCATGAGAAATCAAGCGTGAAACAAACACCTCTGGAAACGGAAAAAACAAATGCAAGCCAATGAACATTGCAAAACGTGCTCGCTTACATCCGAGAGTGAGGGTTTGTCCAGAGCCAGATACACTGGCAGTGTGTCTAGTATTTACAAAGTACACTTTATTCGCGCTCCATGGAGATGAACATTTTCACGTGTTACTGACATTTCATCCATCGAAAAATATCCGACTTCGTCGGCTTTTGAGTTCCAGGGTATGTATATGTTTTCATTTCGCCTGTCTAAGCTTGTCAAGTCAGAACCAACTTTTGCTTCTTCAAAAGCGGCGGCACTTTTTTAACCTAGAGCGAATCTCTAAACAGGAACATATTTGTCAAACTGTGAAATGTCCTATCTAGAATGTAAGCACATTAAACACATTGAGATGTGTTCTGGATGCTCCTTTGTCGACTGCCATCATGTGATTTCGTAATCCGTTCGCCTACATGGGTGCGTAAGATAAAGGGGAATAATATCTATCACATATCAATAATAGTTGATTGAAAACGTCAAATATCCCAATGATCGTTGTCCAGATGGTTAAAAATTTATTGTAGCTCAACCTTACACAGGAATTCCTATGCATTGTGGAGGTCTTGACATTAGAGACATGATTGTAAATCTATATGGGACAGACGACCGAACGGCGAACGGAAGTGTGATCGGACGCGTCAACTAATGCACCAAGCCGGTGATCCTACCACTCAGTCACTGATCGTATAAGTCAGGGGTCAGCGCCGACTGTCTTGGCAATTCAAACACATCAATGTTTGGCTTCGCAATTATTCAAGGCTCACTCGTTGAGCTAACCAGCCTGGTGCGGGCTATTGGAGCGAAATAACTAGACACACTACCATGTGATGATCGTTTGCGAGAACAGGAATATACTAAGTAGAGTAGCAAGGCAATTACGTGATGCATTATGTGGCATAAACGAGAAAAACGCTAAACCTGCCTAGTGCAGCATAAATGAAAAAGGAATGCTTGGAACGAATCATATAAATGTAAACTTAGCACTGCCTGTTCGGTCTCTACCAGTGAATCGTCGACAAAGTCGCCGTATCCAAAGTCCGGTGCCTTCCATGAAGCCAGCTGCCGATAGCGCACATGGCGACATTTTATCACACTGCTTTTTGCCTCTGTCCCTAGTTCAGCATTAGTAAATCGCATAGGAAGGCATAAAGAAGCTTGATAGGCAAAAAGGAGCTCCTTCCAATTGGGAGTGACCCATACAGTGCACAGTGAAAATATGTGACACAATCTTATAAGTTATGTTTCATGTTGTCATGCATGTACCCTGACACAAGTGGAATAAATATCTATAGTTTTGAAGTCTGTAGTAATACAGCAGGACTCAATTTCAAAAACTTTGACACAAAGCAAGCTGGTTGGTTGGAAGGGACTGAGGCATATAAATCTCTTATTAACAGTCCACAATGGCATTGAAAAACAAACACTAACCTCAACACTTTATTTGTAATGACCAACATTGACCAATCAGAACATATAACTCTTACCAGTTGCCATATGATATGAAAGCAGGGAGTGAATCCATTGTAACACACATGGATTATGAGTTGACAGATAAATGATGCCAGTTCAGTAAGAAAAGTGGTGATTCTTTGTTGAATAAAGCACAGTTATGGCTAATAGCTATGTATAATGCAAGATTGTAATGCAAAAAAAAAATGGAGAAAGAAATCGGTCAGTTACAGATCCACAGAGGTTAGTGCAAGCAGTTTGATAAGTATCAAATGATAAATAATAATAAATGGTGCAACTTACCTGTCTCATAGGCTGGGTTCGAAAGCTGCCAGCAATTCTGGATGCAAGCATGGTGATGGTTTTGCTATATGCTGCTGATATAGAGCTGTCAAAAAAGGTACTGGGTAATAATTTGGAAATGAAATACAGAAGCATGTACCTGTATAGTCTGTTTTTATTCAAGAGGACTGGACTCTGGCTCCAAATATGTTTTCCAAACAAGAATGTATAGCCAGCAAAACTGAAACAGGCAAAAACTGAACCTGGGAAAATCAAATGTCAACTAATTCTAACATGTGATTCCTTCCTAATAATTTCCATAGATGTATTTTGGAGCTAGATATTAGAACAGTGGTGATGTCATGCTGTCAAACTTGCATTGCAATGCAATGCATAAATTGCAATGCATAACTACCATGAATGGACAGACCCGTTCTCTTGATTCTAACCTTGGTAACAATGAAAATGAAATTTTCCTCAAATTTGTTGACACTTTTTGCAATTGTATGGACATTGGGTGCCAGCTGCCACCAATGACATCATCTAAGTATGCTCATTTTTGCAGGCACAATTTCCAGGGCCCTGTTCATGAACCCCGGCGGTCGCTGCAGCCGCTGCGGTCAGCCGGGCTGTTGCGTCACGAAAAGGGGCGGGGCTCATGTAGTATGAAGAATGTATGACGGCACCTTGCTGCGGCTGCTGCGATCTCTGCGGCCACAATCCAGCGACCGCCGAGCCGCAAGAAAACTAATTGCACTGAACTTGGCGCACTGAAGTCAAATAGGCGCAAGCCGTGTTGTCATGGAGACTATTTTGATAACAAATTATCTAGCGGTGTACGTCAGTTTAAACAATTGTCGGAAACTATTTCGGCAGCAGACGGTGTTCATGGAACGCTGCTGCGGCCCAGTGAGTGATGACGTTTCAAAAATGGGCGGGGCTTAGAACCTGCGGCTGGCCGCAGCGACCGCAGACTTCATGAACAGGGCCCAGGAATTCACTGAACAAAATTTGAAATGTAATATTTTTGCAGTAAGAAATTATTGGCCAGCACTGATGCTGCCAAAACTGAAAACTCACGTGAGAGCTTCAATAATGAACTTGGAGCCAGAGTTCTTTTGAATAAAAAAGACTATAATTACCACAATTTCTTCACAATCAGATTATCGTTAAGTCACACATTATAGGAAAGGCTGATGAGTGATGACTGAAACTCTCAGGGCAGGTGCTCGAAACAATCGCCCTGCTTCGTGCAACGCCTACTTGATCTAAGTTTTAAGCGATAACGGGGAACATCCGGATTAATCCACTGTACCCTCAAATCAGAAGAAAGCTACCGCTCCACTGCACCTATATAAAATATCCCCGCCAACAACACCCACACTCTCACGCCACCCGAGCCGAGGATCCAGTCCAAGGCTATATAAACCAGGTAGAACGCTCCCGACGAAAAAGTGGTGACAAGCGATGATTAGTTGCCGCGACCCTCACTTGTTCAAGACTATATCCGCAAGCAGCATTTACAAGCTAGCGGAAATCGACCAATCGGCGCTCGCCAATAATCAACGCTGATTGGCCCGATGCTCGTGACGAAATTGCGGGGGACTGCAGCTATAACCCTATGGCGTTTAATAGAATTATGACTTTTGAAAGGGATTTGTATCAGTTTTTGTTGGGTTTGAGGCCATTTTTGAGCTTGGATATTCTTTCCGTGACCTTTGACTATATAATAACGACATTTAATCATGACATTTCTATATACTACCGGTGTCACATCGGCCAAAAAGACCGTAAGTACATACATGGGATAGACGGACCACTCCTGATATGGGGCCACACATACCGGCGTGTGGTCATCGGAGGTCCATGAGGGCTCGACATGGGCCCTTTATGGGTCGGTATAGGCCCAGCGGGTCCAGTGCAGGCCTACCAGGGGCCGGTGGCATATAATGTAAGGCTGTTTAGGGACGTTGAGGGCTCATGGGGGCCATATAGGACCATTAGGGACCACATAAGCCAATCAGGGGTCCATTTAGGCCAATAAAGGCGCTTCAGGGACTTGAAGAGGCCATTCAAGAGCCGTGGTGGGCCCATGAGGGAACGGCATTGGTCCATCAGGTGCAGTCAGGGGATGTTGTACGGGTTTCTCAGTGGCCCATTTGGGCATATCAGTGACCAATTTAGACCCAGCAGGGGGCTTTGTAGACCTATCAAGTATCAGTGGCTGGTGATGTTTTATCAGGGGCCAGCGTTAGTCCATCGGGGCACGGCATATGCCCATCAGAGGTAATTGCGGGCCCACGCTGAACAATGATGGCCCTTCAACGGCCCCTAATGGATCTAGATTGACCCATGTTCCATGATGTGTCATGTATCATGTATGCCCCTATGGCAGGCCTACTCAGACCCCTGATGGACGTTCCCGGCCCTGATGACCCTATACTGAATCCTGGTGGGGCTCTAAGAGTCTCCAATAACCCTTCGTCAACCCATCATTACCATACGCTGGCACTAGGGGCCCCACATCAGCCGCAGGGCAGTCCGTGCCATGACAGCATGTCTTTTGGGCCGATATTACATCGGTAATATTAATCAAAATCATGATTTTATGGTGCCATTATATAGCTAACAGTCATAAGAAATATATTTCAACTCGAAAACAGCTCGAAACAGCATATAATCTAAAAGAAACCCCACCGAAATCCAAAAGCCTATTCGGGTCCATAGAGAATAACTGCGGTCCCCCGCAATTTCGTCACGAGCGTCGGGCCAATCAGCGTCGAGCACTGCCGAGCGCTGATTGGTGGATTTTCCGCTAGCGCGTGAGTGCTGCTCGCGGAACAAGAGTTCGTCGACAATCCTCCACAAACGTCTGTCACCACTTTTCGTAATGCTAAACAGCCGGAGCGTACCCCCCTGATCTGACCTTCGTCAGTAGCGGTAACCGCCTTGGAGAACATGGCTGGCATAGCTGGAGAGAACGACACCAAAAAGCGAGATAATCTTGTGAGGAAATTACAAGTCTTGCCAAAGAGTAGTCAACAAAAAATGAAGACGTGAAGAGGAGGGAAAGCAGACTCACCGTGGAATCTTGCTTTAATAGTGGGAAGCCGCTCGGGCAGAGTGAGACGAATGAGACGAAAAGCTGTCGAGACTAAATCCACCAGAATTCAATTTCACGCAAAGACAAGGCTATTTTTGATAAAAAAAGAAATGCTGAACAGGACGGGAACAGAATATCCCGTAAAAAACACCCTAGCACTTAAGGGAAACTGCAAAAAGTCTACTAATCTATAAAACCACGCGAACCACGCCGTCAACCGATTCGTTGAAAAAAAAAAAAAAATACTTTTCATGTCCGTCAAACTGGCAGCAGATTCACGTGTGTAAGAACATTCGACCGCCCCCCCCGGCCCCCCCCCACTATGCGTTCGGGCCGACCACGGTGACTATGAATACAAAACACTAAACAAAACACTAATACTGGGGCGGGTCAAAACAAATAGCCTCATCAAGTTTGCATTCTGTGGGTTACAGTCCTGATCGTTCTGCTTCATTAATATAATACATTTATACGATTTATACCCAAAATGAAAACGCCCAAAACGAAAATAACGTTGAATCAAGTGATGAAAAGATCTGCCGTGATTGTGAATGGCGTGAAAGAAAATCAATAGAAAACAGTATATGTAATGCATAGTCGACTACAGAATGATGTTCCACTCCTCAGAAGCTATCAGTTGACCGGAGCGCTAAGTTGTGCCGTTTATCACGTGCTACCACCCGTAGGGGGGGGGGGGAGCGGGGGGCCGTTTCGTCCCCCCCCCCCCTAAGATCTCGGAAATTTACCGGCTGATTTTCAAAATTCAAACGGCGTTCGATAGCCCCAATAGGTAACTACCTTATGACCAAATTTCATTGACCTAAGTCAAACCAATGACGTCACAGGTCAGGTCAAAGGTCGGATTTTCACCGTTAACATTTCACGGTCATTTCAAGAAATGTGTTGTGAAATCGAGTAAATTGGTAAGTTATTGAAAAATGGAACCATCGATGGTACAATGTTCGTCAAACACATACTTCGCTATATGAGGTCACTGATACCAGGTCAGGTCACAGGTCAGGTCAAATTGGTCAGGTCACTTGGGGTCACAATTATGAAAGTGTCGTGTGATAACATGTTTTATGGTCCATTTCACATGACAAATGCGATTATGCGGGTCAGGAAGCTTTTGGGGCCAGCTTAGGTCACGGTTTGGTGAAGGTCAGGTCAATGTCAGGTCAAATTAGGTCAAATTTCAAAGTTGATATTTTTGCATAAAATGGGTATTGATTCGATGCAGCTCGTCACGGGGAGTCCAATGGTGGTCTGTTTTGCCCTACGTAGTCTAAAATGGCAAAAAATTGAGTTTGAAAATTTGACGTCATCATTTTTGAAGTTTTTTTCGTTTTTTTCGCCAAAAAAATGAAATTTGGTATGTAGATAGAAGACGGTAGGTACTATCACATACATTCCAGTTTTTTCGAAACTCAAAAAACTTTTTGAGTTTTTGGCTAATATATCAAAAAAGTTGCTTTTTTGATTTTTGTGAGTTAAAACTAAAAAAAAAAAATCCGAGATAGCAGTTTTGTAGCCCTGTCAATTCTACACCTTTGATATTTGATCATTTTTCTGTATCTTTAAAGCCCGTAGGCCTGACAGCTCTTCTCGCGAAGGTCTTTTTTCGGTCGAAAATGGCAGAACATGACGTCATTCTGACGTCATTTGTGGCCAACCTATCACAGCCTCTGGAAATTTTTTGGTCACAATGTGTAAAATTGATGCCCCCTGTAATTGCCTGTGAAAAGTGGAACATCATTCTGTAGTCGACTTTACACTATTAGTAAAGTAATCTTCAGCATACACGCCTCGCAAAAAAAAACGCAAATGTAATCACTATTACAAATGAGCCAAATCATCAAACGCAAATGAGTAGCAAATAATTGAGCAAAGTCAAGAGCATTAAAATAAGCGCACCGAAAGCACATTTTCTTGGTAATTAATTTAGAAATTATTTTGTTTTCATTTATTGCATTCAATTTGGAAGGATAAGCCATTTTTGAATTATTTGAGCACCTTCTTAGTATTTGTTGATGTTTTGTTTTAAGAAGGCTTTATTTTAATTTATATTTCCGCTTTATGTGCTTCACTTTCATTTTCCCGCTTAAAATTCAGTTGCCATGGCAATTATCGTCTGCTTGCAGCACGTGCAGATGTATTGTTGTCGGTCATTCGCGGTCTGCTTGTCGTCGTGTGCGTGTGTCTCGTAATTTAAGTTTTGATTTTGGTGGTAAATCCCTCTTTCGATTTAAGCATGATGTCCGTCAAAGGTATTGCAGCTGCACTGCTCGTGCTTGCATTGGTTTCGTACCAGGTGTACGCTCAAGAAGCGGCGGAGACTACCCCTGCCGCTGATGGTGCAGCTGCTGCTGGTGGAGATGCGGCCACTGCGACTGAGGCCGCCGCCGGCGGTGACGCTGGTGGTGACGCTGGCGGTGATGCTGGTGGTGACGATGCTGGGGCGGCTGGAACGACAGCAGCTGCAGCGGATGGAGAAGGGGGCACTGAAGCCCCGGCCGCTGCCGAAGGAGACGTTACAACTGCTGCAAGTGGTGAGTGGCATTACCAGTGTTTTTAACACGGTCTTTGTTTCTAACAAAGACCCATATTTACTACCGCTGGTTGCGCATGAAGGGTAACGCTTATCACGCCTTGTCCGAGCTAGCCATGATCAGATGCTGGTGTCAAAAACTATTGCATACTTCAGTCAATTGATCGTTCACTTTGCCCATCTATAATAGCTACACGGGCGGTCGTCTTTCGCAGTTTGCGCTTAGGTTGTACTGCCGATTCTGGTCACTAGTATTGTCCCCCCTTCCCCGCAGGTGCCGGCGAATTGCAAGCCTTGACCAAGTTTGTAGCTGTCATGGTGGCTGTGTCTCTGGGCCTTCTGGCAAAGAATGATTAGCTGGTGGTAACTACGAGAACACCACGAAAATGCAGTTTTGCACAACTCGGGTATCCGGGAAATCTGGAAGTGGCCATAGGGCGAGGTTAACCAAAGGCATCGCTTCGAGCGATTCGCTGAAGGTGATCGAACGGCGAGATGCAACATTAGAGTCGACCACGCATAGGTCGTCTGGAGGGTGGCATGAATTATGTAGTAATGACAGCTTGCTTCGATGGACGCACAGACGTGCGGATTTTGAGTGATACCTACTTCGATTAGTTTAGCACATGACAACAATAAAGCAATGTGATTAGATTACCTGTTTGTAAGCTTGCCTTGGTGTGTGGCAATCAGAGGCAGCTGAGAAATGAGAGCCTGGTGTACGGTACTTAAAATTTTGTGCCTGGTATCGTCGTGGGAATATTCGTAGTATGCAACCAATAAGGGTCATTGCCCTGAGAATGAACAAGCGAGACATTGGGCCCTGCACACGCGAAAGAGCGATACGAAACCTCCAACTAACTTACATGCCACGTCTGCCTTCCCGATCCCTTGCTCCGATCTGTGCAACGGTGTGGCGTGTGCGAAGTGATTTGTCTAGGAGGGGAGGGGGGCATGGGTGTCGATTTGTATACATTTGGGGGTGCTGCAGCACCCCCAATGCTCAAATGAGCACCCCCAATGGTTTTCCGGGCACCCCCAATGGTTTTGTCCCTCAATAACTCTGCTTGAGGAAAATAATTGTTCTGCAGTAGTTCACTACTAAAAATGAAACAATTACGCAATTTACAAGGCATGAAATAAAGATGTAAAGAAAAGAAAATTTAGATTTAAGAAGAAGGGCGAAAAAAAAACGTTAAGTTGCAAAGATGGTGTGGGTCCGTCGTACACGGGTGTCGGACCCTTAGAGCTGCTGGCGCGTACCCTTTACAAGCCGGCAGGGGGCTCCAGAGACCGGCGACGGGCCCTCAGAGGCCGGCAAAGGGTCATCAGAGGCCGGTGGTATGTACCTTCAGAAACCCTGTGGGGTCATCTTTAGAGACCGGAACGGGCTCAGGCGCTGATGGGGCCCTCAGAGTCGCCGGTGTGGGGCCTTCAAATGTCACCGGTGGCAGGGTGGCCGTCACATGCGCACTTGTGGGGCCTTCAGAAGCTACGATGTTGGGCCCTCAGAGCCGCCGATATAGGGCCTTAAGAGGCACTAGTGTGGGGCCCTCAGATATGGCAATGTGGGGCCCTCGGACTGGAGGCGCCGGTGTGGGGGCTCTCAGAGACACTGGTTTAGGGCCATCACAGGCGCGCGTTGGGCCCTCAGAACTGCTGTTACGGAACGGATCCTTCATAGGCCGACAAGAAGATATCAAGAGGTCACCGGTGCCTTCAGGAGCCTTGTGGGGTTCTCAGAGACTGGCATGATGCGCTCAGACGCCGCTGGGACCCTCCGTGCCACCTGTGTGGGGCCGTCAGGGTCGCTGGTAACTGTCAAGGGCCCTCAGAACCGCCCATGTAGGGTTTTTAAAGGCATTGGTATAGGGCCTCAGAGTTAGGGGTGTGGGGCCCTCAGAGACGCCGGTGTGGCGCTCAGGGGCGCCGGTGAGGGCCCTCACAGTCGCCGTTATAGGGGCCCTCAGAGAAATGGGTGTGGGGCCGTTACAGGCGGGTGTGCAGCTCCTAGAGCTGGCCCCCTAGAGGCCGGTTAAGACCCCCAGAGGCCGGCAAGTGGCCCTCAGAGGCTGGCTTGGGGCCCTTATGGAGATCTTAATGTTAGTACTTTTGGGCCCATGAGGTGTTCTTACGAGCCCTGTGGGGCCCTTCTGAGTCCAAATATAGCCAACGTGGACCCTCAGTGGCCAATTGGCGCCGCAGTGCCCCTCAGGCCCGAATAATCCGATGGGCCCCTGAACCTGATGGGGCGGGGGGGGGGGGGGCTCACGGGCCCACCTGGCTACGCCACTGAGGAAAATCGTAAACCCATGAATATCGAATTGCAATCACCTGTTATTTTTTTCAGCGATTATTGTGATCGTCTGATAAACGCCAGAGCCTCGTAGCTATACCGTTGCCTCCCGCGCAATGTCCGCCCCTGCAGACCGCAGGGGCTGCTGCACCGGTGCTAATCGCGGTCATCGGTTTCTGTCACCTTATTACAGAGGTGTCGGTGCTGCTGCCGAGCTGCCGGCAAATGTACGCGTTTTTTTTCGGAAAGATGTTTATGTAATGAGGTAGCCAAGTACTAGGACGAGCAGAATGATTTTGAAGAACGTTCAACCTTTGGGAAATATTAGTGGAAATCCCGGGATTATCAGTACCTTATGGGGATACACAACAATGCCTTGTAGGTACGGTTGTGCCCCATGGCAAAGCTACAATCTTTCACCCGGTGCAGGGGTTGAGCACCCCCAACCATTTTGAAAAATCGACACCCCTGGAGGGGGACATTAATTTAACCGGTTCCTAGCGGTTTACAAAGTTTGAGCTCGATAGGCCAAGCCGTTCTTGAGATGTGGAAGCGGGGCCCGGCGCGTAAGCAAGACGTGTGCAAACGACCCCGACGGACTTCCATGGGGCACCGGCCAAAACAGTCAGGGGCGTCGACGCGTAAGGAAAACTGGTCCGACTTTTTCTCGGGGGGGCCCCCGCGAAGGCGCATCAGGGCCCCCGCGAGCCGCAGCGGGGGGCCCCCGTTGCCGCAGCAGGGGCCCCCGTGGCCGCAGCAGGGCCCCCCGAGAGCCCCAACAGGGGCCCCCCGCGGCCGCAGAAGGGGACCCCGCGGGCCGCAGCAGGGCCCCAGAGGCGCAGCAGGGCCCCCGAGCCGCAGTAGGGCCCCCGCGGTCTGCAGCAGGGGCCCCCGCGAGCCACAGCAGGGCACCGCCTTGTCGAAGAAGTGGTCCGACTAGTCGGAAAAGTCGGACCGGTGTCGACGCCCCTGAAAACAGTTGAGCGCGAGGCCGGTTTAGTGAATTTTGAACATAAGCGCCCCTGCCGCTCGAGATACGTAAGCGACCCATGCACGCGCACACGTGTAGTAGCGCCCTAACCGTAATGTAATGGCAATCCGTACAGTAGCGGCGGAAAACCTTCGATTAAGGGGGGACGCTGCCGACTTTTGGCCCCATTCTTTCCATGCAACGCCCATAGGGCTGTTAACACGCGCACCGACGGGGGTCTGCGCCAACTTCGTACCGACGGGGGGGGGGGGCGGATGACCGCCCCCCATGAGATCTCGAGAACGAACCAAGATAGTGACAAGCGGTAAACGGCAAGGGATACGCACGGACAAGGTCTACAATTTTTACAAAGGTCATTTTCAGGTCAGGTCAAAGATGACGTCACAGGGGTCAAAAAAGTCAAAATGGCGGCGAGGTATGGAGTTTTTCTCAAATAGCTTTCGAACTAGTCAATATAGGAACAAACTAAGGGCATCATCGTGATCCTCTCGTCAATCCGCATCGAATGATATATATGTTGACCTCGAAAGGTCAAGATCAAAGGTTGACCTCAGGCCACGTGACCTCGAGGTCATCATGTATATCATTCGATGCGCCTTGACGAGCTGAACACAATGAGACCATCCGCGCGGCTGTATCTTGTTCCTGTACGGGGTTATTGTAAAAAAACGCTGGTGACCTTTGATGACGTCACATGACCTTACAGCTGCCCAACAGCAAAACAGACCTCAAGGTAGTGAAGGTTGATCGTAGATGAGGTTATGTATGGTTTATGGGACCATTCCGACCCGTTTTAGTGGTAAAAACAGGGAGTTGATTTTTCCCCCATTGACTTATAATGGGGAGGTCGAGAAATTGACCTGACCTTAGGTCATCGATATCAAAATTCTGAGATATACAAATTGTAGCTACTAATGACCTTATAACATTTTAAGGAATTGAATGCTGTAACTGAGCATGATTAATTATGGTGGAGTTAGATAAATATAGTAGTCTGATGCTCATTAAGCAAGCGAAGCGAGCGTAGTCTTTCCCTAGATTAACCCGCGCCCAGATGGGGTCTGCCGAGCAACGCGGTCTGATGGGGGGGGGGGGGGGCATTTTAGCCCCCCCCCTCAGATCTCGAGAACCACGCAACATAGCGACAAGCGGTAAACGGTGTTGAATAGCCCCAACGGGGAACTACCTTGTAGTCCAATTTCATTGACCTCGGTCAAACCGATGACGTCACAGGTCAGGTCAAAGGTCGAATTTTCATCGTTTACAGGCATTTCAAGAAATGCGTTGTAAAATCGAGTAAAATGCATTTCATTGAAAATCATCGATGGGGAAATGTTCTTCCAACAAATATTTTGCTACTTGAGGCCACTGATGCCAGGTCAGGTCACAGAGGTCAGGTCACTGGGGGGTCACAATATGAAAGTGTCGTGTGATGCATGTTTTATGGTCCATTTTACATGGCAAATGCGATTATGTGGGTCAGACAGACTTTAGGGCCAGCTTAGGTCACGTTTTGGTCAAGGTCAGGTCAAATTAGGTCACATTTCAAAGTTGATATTTTGCATAAAATGGGTATTGATTCGATGCAGCTCGTCACGGGGAGTTCAATGGTGGTCTCCGTTTTGCGCTACGAGGTCTAGAATTGCTAAAAATTGAGTTCAAAAATTTGACGTCATCAATTTTTAACAGTTTTTTCGCTATAACTTGGCCAAAAAAAAAGAGGTATCGATCTAAAATTTGGTATGTATATCGAAGAGCGCAGGGACTATCACATATATTCCGGTTTTTTCGAAATTCGAAAAAATTTTGAAAATTTTTTGAGTTTTTCTAAAAAAATCAATTTGTTTATTTTTTGGGGTTAAAATCCCAAAATTTCGAAAATCCGAGATAGCAGTTTTGTAACGCCGTCTTTTCTCTACACTACACAACCACATAAAGAACTTTAAAATTGCTTGTTAAGTGTAGAATTGGTGAGCGTTTCAATATGTCATGTTTTTTGCTTATTTTTACTCGAACATGACCTCAGTTTGACCTCAATAACTCCTGACCTGAGGTGACCTGTGACTTGAAATTTTGTGTGAAAGTGTCAAATTGATGCCCGGTAAGGTACCCAAAATTTGGCGGCGCTGCGCGCCGCCGTTTTCTCGCTATTTAAGAAAACCACAGGGGGGGGGGGGCAAAATGCCCCCCCCCATCAGGGCGCGGATTAACGGAAATTTCTGAGTATGAGCGGCCGGCCGGCCGGCCGGCCGTGGTCACGATTCTGCGACGATTATATCTCAGCAACCACTTGACCGATTTACACGCGGTAATTTTTGTAGGGTAGCTTCATTCCTTCTACCAAGTATTGGACTATTGTCGATGCATATGGGTGACCCCTTATGCACGTGCCACGTGCAAAACGAAGAGGTGTCACTTTTGTAATTGTTGCAATATCTCGGTAACAACTTGGCCGATTGCGCTGAAAGTTGGTATGTAGGTAGGCACCCACTAGGCAATGCATACCCATGTGCCAGAATTGGGGTGCTGCTGCACGTGCGCACGTGCAGGGGTCGATTCCAGATCTCGAGAACGGCTGGACCGATGGCGCTCAAATTTGGCACATGGTTAGGGACCGGTTAGTAGGGTGCCGTGCAAAACTCAGTTGGGACCCATTTTGCACGTGCGCACGTGCAGGGTGCCGCTTCCAGATCTCGAAAACGGCTGGGCCGATTGTGCTCAAATTTGGCACATCGCTAGAGACCGGTTAGTAGGGTGCCGTGCACAAGTCAGCCCCTTGCAATTTCGCACGTGCAAGGCCCACCCTCTCGCTCGCTCCGTTAGTCGCCCCAAAAGGCGTTACACTGGTGAGTAAGCTATTTGAAATATATGTTTTAAAAAGAGTTGTATAATACTTCGAGCACGGCTCGAAACGGCATTTTCAAATAGCTTACTCATGAGCATCAGACTACTATATTTATCTACATAATTTCACCATGACCTTATAACATCTTGCGACTTTCAAAGGCCTCCGACATCTACTGTAGCTCTGGCACGGTGGCAAAGTTGCAAAAAAGTAACTTGAGGTTGGGTCATTCGAAGTGACCTGGTGACCCGACCTCAAAAGTTAGGAGGTTCAAACTTGCACACCATGTGTAAAATTGATGAGAGAATAGTCGTACCAAATTTCGTGGCGCTGCGCGCCGCGGTTTTCCCGCTATTTGCGAAAAACCTCAAGGGGGGGGGGCGGATGTCCGCCCCCCGTCGGTGCGCGTGTTAACCCCCCCCCCCCCCCCCTGGAGCCCAAAAGGGCCCCCATCGCGGTGTCATAAGTACGGTAAGAGGCACAATAAAAGTAGCGTGGGGGCCCCTCGGGGCACTCCACTGGATTCGCAGGGGCCTTTCGGGCCTGAGACCTTGCCGCTAGGGCCCTCAAGACCGCCTTCAGAACCGGCTGAGCGACTCTGAAGCTATTCGTGGGCCTATCTAGCAGGGACCCATGGACTGCTTGTCCCTCAGTTCTAACATTTTTTTTCATTTTTAATCTTTTTTAAATTTATTTGCCCCCCCCCAAATAGTGGATGAAATCTGATGACTTTTTGGATTTTGAGGGGGTTTGCCTTGGGCCCCTGTAAGTTTGCCCCCCCCCCCCCTGGAGGAAATCCTGGCTACGCCCCTGACAGAGGTCACCATTTGACCTATGACTTTAAAACTGGTTACCGTTGACTTCGTCTCGTGACTACCTATGTACACGATGCTTTCTTTTCGCGAGGCTCTTGCTCAATTAGGGGCCAAACGCGAGGGGGTCGTACCCCCTTGTGCCGCCGAAAGACACAAAATGGCTTGTGCCGGCGAGCGTTAGAGTGGATGTCAAGGTCACCTGAAGGTCAGGTCAGGTCATTGACCTTTGATGACCTCGGTTCACTTTTTCGAGTTTTACATGTTTCTAGAAAATATTTTTAGCTGAATTCGAATTCAGCAACCATTTGAACATTTACGGAGTAGTTTTGGTGCCTTCAGCCTTCGTAACATGTTACGAAGCTGTCAGAGGGGGTTGACACCAGTGTTTGTCATGGGCCGGGCCATGGGCTGGGCTGGGCTACGGGCTGGGCTGGGCCCTCAAATATGAAGGATCGATGGTGGGCTGGGACCTGACCTGTTAAGTGCACACAAAAAAATATTAACACCTTTAGCGGTGTAATTGCACAGTACATATCTGAGCACTTGAGGAAAGTTAATTTAGTCCCTTCCCCGCTTAAACTACTCGCGCTTCTAAATGAACACCAGGAAGAAGGTAATAGAACACTGTTAGGAGGGTTGGGTGTTTTACTACATGTACTAAAACACCCAACCCTCCTAAGCGCGGCGTCCGAGGGAAACCGAGGGAAATCCGTTCGACCCCCTGTGAGTACGAATGCAAGGGTTAAAACAGCTATCTGACTATTTATTTACGCATAGAGCAAGGTCCACAGACATCGTGGCTTTTCAGTTGAGGTGATAGTGAGGTGAGTCGTAGAATACTATGGCAAGGATACGGATGGGATTTGGGGACACTTTTTTGTTTTCTGGGTTTTAACGTAAGGTTCTGTGCGTCGCTGGGACTGCGGTGGGGGCACTCCTGGTCATCTGTTCATGGATGGTGGACTACTTAGAGAAAAAAGTGATATATTTATTTTTAATATGAACTGTCATCCATGTCAACATATTGCAGAAAAAAACAACCTGGCTCCACAATTTATGTATTATGACTCGAGAAAGTATATTGCTACAAGTATTTTGTGAACAGTACCGTAGCTGAGAGCCAACATACGATGACGATCAAATAACTTCAACCATTTCCACGGCTGCACAATTAGCTCCCCGTTATCCCAGCTTTGCCATCTTGTATTCAGGCGCATGGGAAAGGAGGATAAAAAATCGGCAAAATGTGCGCCGCTAGGTAGCCGGAAAGCTTCACTAAATGTGAAAATTTCGATCGAGTAAGCCGATTGGCCCTTGGTATTAGGAGCTGTTGCATTCGTATAAGGTTCTTCATGAAAAAGAGAAATGACTGATCAGTATGATAGTTATCATTGCGACACTTTTAACCTCTGAGTCACCATTTACGTCTTAACCATAGCCGGCCTAGTGGAAGGGAGCTCGATACAACCCCTTAAGATATTATACAAGTTCTATTCACTCCTTATGATATCTTAACTTTTAGCTCCACTGAGCCCAGAAATGATTTTTTTGCGAAATAAATTCGCGGTAAGCGCTCATGCTCAGCGCCGAGGGAAGCAAAATATAAGACTTGTAATCTGTCTAAGTCATCCAAATGAATATCAGTTCACCAGGGGTTAGCCCTGACCCGTTCCGTTCTCCAAAACATGTTCAACATTCGACACGTCTCAAACGTGTTGTTAACTTGTTCTGCCAGGAGTGTTGGGATCTTTTTTTCTGCCAAAAAACAAGGTCATATTTTCAGGTCTTCAATATGACCTAGAAGTTTACATGAGACCTTAAAATCGAGACCCTTTGGTCTACTCTCTTAGATAGAAGCATTTTTTTTTTTGCAAAGCTGTATCTTAATTAGGAGCCATACGAAAGGCGTATGTTTCAGCCACCTTCCCTTGTGCCGCTGAAGGATGAAACGTAGCGAATGTCAGTGAGGGCAAAAATCTGCTCCATGTCAACGCAGAAAGCACCACATATCCTACAGACAACACCATTCCCTGACCACTGTCTACACCTCTGTGGGTGTGACATGCGCATCACTCACGCCTACAGCAAGTAGAACCTACACATTCTTGTGCGCGTCACTAGTCCGTACAGCCCACTGATGGCCGCGTGAATGGCGGCCCGCAAAACGGCGCCGTGTTGTGCGTTTCTCCGTTTGACTATGGCCACTGGAAGAAGCAGCGGCACACACTACGCCTGTGTCAGAGCTCGGCTGCCCACTGTGCTGGTCCCTCCTTTATGTCCGTCCAGATGGTCCCCCGTTTGTGTCTCGGCAGAGCGGCTCCACACCCCTGGCAGATCACGTCATCGCCAGATGTCCGCGCTCAGGCCCAAACCTGCGAGCAGATAGACCAGAAGAGTCAGCGTCTTCCTGGACACATCCAGGGAAGGAAACAATCAGCTATCACGGCATTAGGTTTTGTGGTTCTATTTTAGGTTACGAAGCACCGGACGCATAGAAACGCGCGGCTTCGCTCTTACTGGTCTTGCTGAGGCGCAAGAACGTAACAGGCCTCATAAATCGGGCTATATGTACATATATTCATGCATGAAGCATTGAGCTGCTTTATCTTCACTTCCCCTCGAGAAATCATGCTCCAGCAACTCCTCATATAGGTTTTCCGCCCGGGGCGCCACCTCACCCGCTCTGGGTCTCCCTCCCTCACCTTCAGCGTGAAGTCCCAGCTGCCGGTGCAGAAGGCGGTGCCATCCGGGCTCATCTTGAGGCAGGAGACGCGGTTGTCGTGTCCGTAGAGCACGGTGATGCGCTGCACCTTCAGCGAGTCCCACACGTTCACCGTGTAGTCGTTGTAGCCGGCGAACAACAGCCGACCGCTCACCGAGAAGTCGAGCGCGTTCACACCGAAAATCAAACTGTCCTTCGTGTAGCAGGCCACCTCGCGGTCGGCGCGCAGGTCGAACAGGCGACACTGCCGGGGTCAACCGGGGTCAAGGTCAGAAGAGATCAGATACGAGTTTAAGGTCAAACGAAGTCCTCGGGGCTAGATGAGGTCAGATAAGGTCAAACATAGGGACGGCGAAGATGGTAAAGACGCTCAATATGAGACAAAGAAAGGTCACACAAGCTCATCCAGCGTCAGCTGAGATCTTCAAAAGACACGTTGAGTTAATTTTCCTGCTCCCTTCTTAGTTCGTTCTTTCAACGTTTTCCCTCCATCTACTCTTCTTTCCTCCCTCCATCTCACCCACACCATCCCTTCCGAAATCCCTCCTCTCCAGCCGACCCCTCCACTCCCCCTTCACTTTTTTCACGGACCGTGGCGTCGTCTGATCCGGTGGCGATGGCGTCCCCGCTGGGGTAGTACTTGACGGTGTTGATGTCAGCAGCTGGGCCCTCGAACGTCTGCACGTAGGAGCCGGTGCGCATGTCCCAGATCATCGCCGTCTTGTCGCAGCCCTGGCCGCCAGACGGGACATAAAGACAGGGTTAAAACTCAGGAATGTTGATGAAGGCTGGACACTGGACAAGAACTGTGTTGACAGAAATTAGTGAAGAAAGGTGGTTACATATATATTTACCGTAAGACGTTCATTCCTATTCCATACTTCCCGGATAATAGACAACCTTTTCAATTATTTCTGCAGTCTGACAAAGCAGAAAGTTGCTATCTGGTCATGCTTTTTTATTCTGAAAGTTGCGTGTTTATGAAAAACATACCAATATTGAGAGCATCAGGAAATACATTCACTCAAGGAAACTCACTCTCTTCCCTCTCGGTAGAGGCTAGTGACGGCTTTCATGGCTCCTTGCCAAAGTGGCCGTTCACCACGGTTAGGCAGAAAACGTGGCTGAGCAATATTTCGTCCGAAACGATAAAAGCCGTAGCCCGCATTCAACCGGCAAATAGCTCTACGCCTACGGGCACCCATCCCATACGTACACAGCAGTACTACCTGCAGCCAGTAGATGGCGCTAGTGACTGACGCCTGTTGATATGCTGTGCCGCATAGCAGATAAGGATGAAAAACGTTCCCCTAGATGGCGCCTGGGGTATTGTAGCTACTAGCTATACTCACGGCTTGTGGCTTGCAGTCACGAGCTATATAACGCATTTGAAATCAATGTCTGCCGATTATCTAGCTAGCACTGCGTGAGAGAGAGGGTTAATTTTAGATGTAGGTATAGCCAAACAGCGAGTCTAGTGATAACATGCTCTCGAGCATGTTCTCGAAAGAGAATGAGAAAAATACGAGTAACTTTATTAGGACACGCTTCTTTTGTTATTAAATGAGCACATATGACAATGCAAATTTAATGGGAATAGCATGCTATAGAGCAGGGACGTAGCCAAGGGGGGGCGGAGGGGGCGCCCGCCCCTCCCTTGGGGTTTTCAGGAGGCCCCCCGAAAGGATTCAGGCCAACGTGGGCCGAAGGCCCACGTTGGCCTGAATCCTTTCGGCCTGAATCCAACGTGGGCCGAACAAAATCACGTCGGAGGCGAACGAAATTTACGCGGGAATCTAAAAAATGACGTCAGAACAATCAGGGCCCTCTGACCAGTCTGACAAGTGACAGCTAGGGTCCTTCTCATCTCCTGTGAATAACCACTAGTGTCTGTGTCTGACCGCTAGGGCCCCTCTGACTCCTCAGTAGAGAGGAGGCCCTCTGTGGGTAGGAGGCCCTCTGTGGGTAGGAGGCCCTCTGTTGAGAGGAGGCCCTCTGTTGAGAGGAGGCCCCCTTAGAGAGGAGGCCCCCTTAGAGAGGAGACCCCCTGTAGAGAGGAGGCCCTCTGCAAAAAGGAGGCCCTCTGTAAAAAGGAGGCCCTCTGTAAACAGGAAACCGTCTGAAATCAGAAGGCCCTTTGAAGAGAGGAGGCCCTCTGTAGAGAGGAGATCGTCTGAAGAGAGGGGGGCCCTCTGTAGAGGAGGACTCCCTCAGTAGAAAGGAGGTCCTCTGTAGGTAGGAGGCCCTCTGTAAAGTGAAGGCCCTCTGAAGAGAGGAGGCCCTTTGCAGAGATGAGGTCCTCTGTATAGAGGAGGTCCTGTGTAGAGACGAGACTCTTTGAAGCGAGGAGGCCCTATATAGATAGGAAGCCCTCTGTAGAGAGGAGGTCCCTGTAGAGACTAGAGAGGAGGCCCTCTGTAGAGAGGATGCCCTCTGTAAAGGAGGCCCTCTGGAGAGAAAGACACCCTCAGCAGAGAGGAGGCCCTCTGTAGATAAGAGGCAATCTGTAGAGAGGAAGCCCTCTGTAGATAAGAGGCCCTCTGTGGGCAGGAGGCCCCCGGTAGTCAAAGACAGCGTCGTATATTAAGTACATAGAGTGGAGGCCCACTGTAAGCAAATTACCTTCTGGCTTCTGGTCCCTGCTACTCTCTATAGAGAGTTCTCAGTTTTCACTATAGTGAGAACTGAGAACTCAGGAAACTGTACAGAATAGACTCCCAACCGCGTCCCCGCCCACTGTAGGAAGGGACCTCTGTAAGGAGGAGGTCCTCTGTAAACAGAAGGCCCTATCCTATGTAGACAAATTAGTTGTATAAATGCGCTCAGAGAAATCATGCCGGGTGCCGTCAACGGTTTTGCCGTCAACGGTTTTACCTGCAGTGGGCAAAAACTGCCAAAATAGCCGATGTTTTCGGAAACCAGTTTTCGGCAATAACTTTCCCATATCAGTCCATCCATATCGTCGAGCCAAACACAACTATAAGGTGTTTTCATCGCTCTAGCATGCCTCTATCAAAAGTTATTCGCGAAAAACAGTCAGATACCATTGGTGACCTGAGATGACCTCAGGGTTATAAAAACGGGTCACGGGTGCCATTTTCATGTTCAGTGTGTCAAAGATACTAGTAATTCAGTGTTTTAGAGTGTTTATAATGACTTCCGTCTAAAAAAGCGATTTTCAATTTTAGATCGCAAAATTGACCTGACCTTATGTCATCGATATCAAAATTCCAAGACCTATATTTTGTGCATTTTGTCGCTCTTGTGCATTTGCATCTCTGAAAGTTTCAAAGCGTTTGGTCACTCCGTGTAGCTTTGGCAGACATTGAAACTTTTTATGTAGTGAGGTCATTTGACCTGACCTGGTGGCCTGACCTTAAGTGACCCGGGTCTGAAATTTTCACAACATATGTAGAAATGATGTAGGATAAAGTGTGCCGCGCCGCCGTTTTTGAGATATTCAGGGTGAACTGCACGGGTGTTTAAACACCCCCGGCAGGGTGCAGGTTAATGCATGAATACAGCAGCCCATTTCTGTAATATATGCCTGTGGCTGTGTTGGTATTTTTACGTGGATGCAATTACCCCAACCATTTATCAGATCGTGGTGATATTCCCATAGCCATGCTTCGCACAACTCATAATAATTTATTTGACCGGTAAATTAATATATATCCATCGATTGTTTGTTTCATCTACGGCGTAAATGAAGCAAACCACCTGGACCTAGGAAAATTTTCTAACGAAACCATGTTTTACTTACAGCAAGTAAACGTGGCATCATTCACACAGAAAGAATTGATAACCGTATAGTTTCAATCCTGCAGACGTCAGTCAGGTCAGAATCGTGACAAGCCCATTGGAAAATATAATGAACTGTGTCCTGCTTCGAGAAAACGAGTCAAAACCACCCAATTCTTTCTGAATTACGTCAGATTATCTGATCTGCAGGTGGCATTTACTGACAGGGGCACCGGGAAGGATCTTCTGAGGTGAGGTGAGGTGAGGTCATCAACAGTTTTTAGCCATAGCCAATAAATCACGACATGATGGGGCTAAATAGTTGTTAGTGTACCAAACTGTTCGCCTGGTCATGAGCATGACGCGTTGATTGGTACCCAGCGTGACCTTCCTAGGTCAGATTTTGAAGTTGACCTATCTATGTAGGTCATTATAAACCATGTTATTTGTTATGACCTCTGGCGACCTCAATATTGACCTGACCCAAAAAGTTGTTTACAAAAGTCGTTCAATGAACTTTCAAACGCCGTTGCCGTTTGTCGCTACGATTCGTGCTTTTCGAATTCTGACAGGGGCCAAAAAGGCCCCCGCCTGATTCAGAGTCTTTCAGAGCCCGCCCGGAATACGGTTAAGCGCTTGAACGATATATGATAATACACCAAGTGTTACTCTGACCGTTATCCAGTATCCACCCATTCCTCGCAGATCCTCCCCCTCCTGCTGCGGTCCGGCCGCCACCGCCGCCGCCGCCGGCGCCCGAGTTTTTTTTTTGCCAGTTACCATGCCACTCGGTGACTTGTGATATGCTATGTTTCTTACCGCTGCAGCGGTAAGAAACATACCAGTGCGCTGGCCATATGAAAGCTGAACAAAAGTGAATGCATCATGTTGTATGTAATTACGTAGGCATGAGACCCTCCGTAGAAAGGAGGCCCCTTTAGGGAGGAGGCCCTCTGTAGAAAGGAGGCCCCCGGGATCCCTCCGCCCCTCCCTTGGCCAAATCCTAGCTACGTGCCTGCTATAGAGCACGTTGTCATTCGACTCGCCATTCGACTATATGCAATTGTACAATGAACATTTACCGGTAACCTCATCTACGTGGCAGTACCTACTATCTGAATAATTAGCAGATATTAATTTCAAATGCATTATGCGTCCTCAAGCCACAAATTGTCGGCAACTATAACTGCAACACCCCTGGTAATTATAGAAATGCGCTGTCATCCTTAATTGTTATGCGGCACAGCATACTAACAGGCGTCAGTCACTAGCGCCATCTATTGGCTGTTGGGAGCACTAGTGTAGCACTGGTGTACCCAAGGAGATATTTGCTGAATGTCTGCGGTTTTTGAACTACGAGCTGATTTTAATGATTGACTGATTGGACTACTAATTGGACTAGCTAGTTAGACTACGAGACGATTTCAATTTTTACGCGAAAAATTAACCCGCGCACCGACGGGGGGGGGCGGATATCCGCCCCCCCCTGAGGTTTTTCGCGAATAGCGGGAAAACCGCGGCACGTAGCGCCGCGAAATTTGGTATGACTATTCCCTTATCAATTTTACACATGGTGTGCAAGTTTGAACCTCCTACCTTTCAAGGTCAGGTCACCAGGTCACTTTGAATGACCCAACCTCAAGTCACTTTTTTGCAACTTTGTCACCGTGCCAGAGCTACAGTAGATGTCGGAGGCCTTTGAAAGTCGCAGGATGTTATTAGGTCATTAGTAGCTACAATTTGTATATCTCGGAATTTTGATATCGGTGACCTAAGGTCAGGTCAATTTCGCGACCTCCCCATTATAAGTCAATGGGGGAAAAATCAACTCCCTGTTTTTACCACTAAAACGGGTCGGAATGGCCCCATATACCATACATGACTTCATATACGATCAACCTTCACTACCTTGAGGTCTGTTTTGCTGTTGGGCAGCTGTGAGGTCATGTGACGTCATCAAAGGTCACCAAAGGTTTTTGGCCAATAACTCCGTACAGGAACAAGATACAGACGCGTGGATGGTCTCATTGTGTTCAGCTCGTCAAGACGCATCGAATGATATATATGATGACCTCGAGGTCACGTGACCTGAGGTCAACCTTTGACCTTGACCTTTCGAGGTCAACATATATATCATTCGATGCGGATTGACGAGAGGATCACGATGATGCCCTTAGTTTGTTCCTATCTTGACTAATTCGAAAGTTATTCGAGAAAAACTCTCTCCATATTCAGCGCCGCCATTTTTACTTTTTCGACCCCTGTGACGTCATCTTTGACCTGACCTGAAAATGACCTTAGTAAAAATTGTAGATCTTGACCGTGCGTATCCGATGCCGTTTACCGCTTGTCGCTATCTTGCTTCGTTCTTGAGATCTCAGGGGGGGGCGGTCATCCGCCCCCCCCCCGTCGGTACTAAGTTGGCGCAGACCCCCGTCGGTGCGCGGGTTAACATTTTGCCCACCTGAACGACCACTCGGGCTTCAAGAGCTGATTTTGTGACCAAATCCTCCAAGGTTGCAGCATCAAAATCGCCTACTTACCGCCGACACGAAGGTATTTCCCGTCTCGGAGGGTGCCAAGTCGAGGGTCATCACGTCTGCCGTGTGTCCGACAAAGTTTTGCAGCAGACTGCCGGACTCAACGTCCCAGAGGGCGCACGTGGCGTCTCCGCTGCCCGTGAGGATCTGCTGGTCCGAGTTGGGGAAACAGCAGCACGAGATGTAGCTGATGTGCGTGCCGACCGTGTGCTTTTTGGCCGACATGTCCTCCTCCAGACTCAGCGGGTAGATGGTCACCTTGTTGTCCAGGCCGCTGTCAGAACAGGGGTGAGAAGTTAGTACATTCTGCTACATGCCAAAGTCGTGACGATGTTGCATTCAATAATGACAAATGATAGGCCACTGTTGCTTGTTCGGTTCTGACCATGAAGTTGGGTAAAGCTTTTTTTTAAATAAATTATGAACAAATTTTGATTGATCTTCGACTCTTCCGTCTCTTCCGGTTCCGGCTCATCTGAGTGTAGGTACGAATAAAGCGGCTAAGTTCTTTTAGTTTTGATCCCGCCACGGCGTGGGAGGTAAATATTCATAGTTCGACAGACGACAAGAGCAAGGTGACACTTAAAACACTTAAAAATACCCCCAAGGATATGCTATTTCACCCGAAATTAACACAATAACACACTATACCTAATCTCATTTGGGCAAAGATGATGTCCAGCTTTTGCTAAGCTCCCTGTCCATTTTAGCCAAAATTGCCATGTGCATTATGCATGAGCATAAGAAATGTAAGATTTACTCGTATGTAAGGAATAGAACATGCGCCATTCCGTCTCACATCTCTGAAAGCAGTGTACTTATGCGTGCCCTGACAGTAGCAGTGTGAGAAAATTGGTTCCTGGCTGCAGATAATCGCGAGTACGATAAGGGCAAAACGCAAAGCACACCTCACGGAACAGAGAAACAAAAGACAGTGACAGAATGACAGACGAACGCTTGTTCTCTCCTTCTCTCTCCTTCTCTCTCTCTCTCTCTCTCTCTCTCTCTCTCTCTCTCTCTCTCTCTCTCTCTCTCTCTCTCTCTCTCTCTCTCTCTCTCTCTCTCTGTCTCTCTCTCTCTCTCTCTCACTCTCTCTCTCTCTCTCCCTCTCTCTCTCCGTCTCTCTATCTCACCCTCTCTCTCTCTCTCTCTCTCTCTCTCTCTCTCTCTCTGCAGAAGAGCAGTGCCTCTCCCCAGGGGCATCTCCATAATTACGCATTTCCAGAGTTCCATGACCCATGGCCTCAAGAAGCGAGCGGCGCGGACCAGCGCGGACGCTGCGAGGTCATTGTGCGTTTCAGCGCGTCGAGGAGATGGCGTGCCCACGCATTTACATAACCTTAGGAAGTATAGGTACACCTGGTGTGGTTTCATCGCTGTATTATCTGCACACCACAAGGTAGCTTTTGGATATACAGCTTAAAAGAAAGGGCAGTTGAAAAAGTATGATCAACTTTCGTATCTATCCTACCCCATTTCATCAACAGGTCTCAGGGAGGGGAAAAGGTGACTATGCTTGTGTTCACAGCTGTTGGCTCCGGTGCACATATCTTGCTATCAACAGGTGATGGCCGATCAGAATCAGCTGCAACATCGGTGCCAGATAACGAGCGGCAGCCCGCGGTTGCGGGAGGGTCGTACACTGCTCAGCTCTGACCCTGAGCGCGCGCTGTCAGTACTTCGGCTGGAATGGAGCGGACAGACCATGGACAGTGCATGATCTACATGCAAAGCAGCAATACCGGCTCTTCGGTGTGACCGATTTCTTATTAACTCAAATCGTATCTTCTGCACACCTACTCAAGTATGAACTGAGAGACAAACCGAACGACCGAGGTGTTGCTTTCGCGGTCATCGAGGGAATAAGAGATGAAGGTATCCCGTCTAACGATCAATTATGCGAAACGTGAAATGACGATATCCCATGAAGGGATTATTAGAACAGTGTAACAAAAATACTCCGGATAGGCACTCGCGCAGTGGATAGACAGTCGGAAACAGGAACAGCTGGCGCAATGCATCGGTAATTTTGCAGCAAGAAGACATCGAGTGAGTTTCGTGTTATCAACATCAGGAAGGGTGATGAGGAATATACATTTAGAAGGTACATGGTTATGCCCGAGCGTTAATTACGACGCGGCTGTTCAGATACGCGACACACAAAGTACGGCGCAGTGATTGCAGTGACGGTGCGTTGACCTGAATGTTACGTAGCGACGTGTTATTTTAACATGCTTGCGGTGCGGTGACGGTATTTAGATATGAATTGCAGGTGGCGGCCTGCGTAGTTTGTACGTTGTGAGTAGTATGAACACCGGTACAGATTGTTGTGCATTGTTCGATAGGGAGCGTGTACTGATGCTACATTGCACTATGGTGGTGGTAGATTAGAATACTGCGATATGACAATTGGTAAGATATGTGAATGCTATATAGAAATACCATGGCGCCGATCGCCGGCCGCGCCAGCCCCGAGACGGGCTATAGAGACGGGCGCGGCCCTGTGCGGTGAATGTGCGAAGGTATAAATAAGCGCGTTCGAGACCTTCTCTCTCTCTCTCTCTCTCGGGCTCTTGCTCTCTGGTTCGCGCGCGGGCAGTGGTGGTCCCGACGCCGCCCGTGGTGGTCGCCTTGTGCGTCTGATCTACAAACATGTAAGTTCTTGGGCCTTATCTCCTGCCCAGTCGGACGTCTCTAACCGGACTCTTGCCAAGCCCTATCCACGCCACTGGTTCCGACCGGCGGAGTGAAAGGGTTAGAGCCTGACTTCGGTTGAGTCTCTGCTGCGGTCGGAGATATGTCTCAGGCACAGACACGCACATTAGTCACACTGGCGTAGGTAACAACATTTCAGGATGGCCGCGGTACTGTGGGCAGTTTTTAGGTTCAATTGATTGGTCTATATGTCTTTTTGAGACACGGTGTTTCGGGACTCGACTCAGTCCATTTCGGCACGTTTGGTTGCTATGAGTCAGTCCCACCCCTTTGGCAATATTATTTCGGTGTCATGATTTCGGCTTGATCATTGTTTCGGCTTTCATTGAATGTTTCGGCACTTTGGCAATATTTACTTGATGACTTTAGCAGTGCACGGTTACCGTGACATTGCTCGTTTTCTGGCACTTTTGTTTGATTTGTTCGCTTTTATTTATTTCGGCCTTTTCATTTTCAATACATATTTAATATGTATATCTTACTCCGTTCTTTTTCGAGGTTGGAAATGATTGTGGAAACGCTGGCAATATGATGATTCGGACGGGTTTGTGGGACACATGGTTTTTGGTCGATCAGTAAATACCCCTAGACAACGGCTAAAGGATTGTTGAGTGTTAAGACGATACCCCTAGACAACGATGAGTAGGATTGTGCAGATGACACAGATTTGAATACCCCTAGACACACGAGGAATATTAGCAGAAGGTACCACAACAGCCAGTAGGCCGGCCTGAATCCTTCCACAACCCATCCTTTATCCACTCTACATCCTCATCCTTCTCCCAGTCATCCTTATCCTTATCCCCATCCCAAACACCACTTATAAATTCACACTGGGGGCTCGTCCGGGATGTGATCTTAATCAGTTCGATTAAGAGACCTGGAGATGGGGCATCTCCTTGGCCCTACTGGCTTTTGCTTGTTTAATAACCTTGTTTATTATTTTGTTTATGGTCATTGTTTCCGGCTCCGAACTGTAATCACATTCAGTCTGGGCTCGGCCATCAGTGAAAGTGATTGAGGACGGTAGGTGCAAAACACGCACAAACAAATTCTGAGGGTCGGTTAGTGTTCACAGTACCGCGAGCCTGAGGTTAAGTTTGAAATTGAAAGTTACGGATACGGAATTGACACGATTATTACACACAGACAACGGGACTGGGAAGGTGCGCGGAGGGCGTTGACCTCTTCGCACGGCAAGGGTTACAAACACCTGTAACCATGAGTTATTCGGTGCCTTCATTACCAGAAGGTATTCTTCGGTAATGGTGCAAATTCGCATGTTGATCGGCTCGATCACGAAGCCTGGATGTGTTCCTGCGTCAGCATGCGGTTAGGAGGTTGTGGGTGCCGGGGGTTGCATCTTGATCTGCTCGATCAAGAGACCCGGGCGTGGTCCTGTGCCGACAGGTTGTGAGAAAGTTGTGTGCGTGCTGAGATTTGCATCTTGATCTGCTTGAGCTAGAGATCTGGAGGTGTTCCGGATTCGGAATGATGTTAGGAAGTTGTGTGGTTGGCTTCTGATTGGGTCATAATTCATTATAACGCTATTTCTATTAGGTTTGACGTTACTCAGCTGGATTTTGCTCCTCCTTCAAATGCCATTGTAACCGGCATGGTCATTTTTCATGACATTTTATGACATTGTGGCCTTCATGTTGGGGAAATTTTTCGGCTAATTTTGCAGTAGTATAGCTTCCATGATATCTGGAGAATTAAGCGCGGCCAACGTCGGTTTAATTGGTTTCGTAGGGAATTTCGGGCATAAGATCCATTTGATAATTTCATGTGACCTTATTCCGACTTGCATTTACAGCAGCTAGCATCGCCTGGTGACAGCCCGTTCGTTTTTTCACGGTATAATGGTCGATTAATATTTTGGTTCTGTACCGTGGTCCGTGAATTGCATCGGATTTCGTCAAACTTAAAACATTTTTGCTGGTTTATTTGTATCTCAGTTTCCATTTTAAAAGCCTGTTATTGCACTTCGGATACGTTTTTTTTTCAACAACATCCAATTACAGCATGGGAAGTGACATTATCTCATCTCGGTTGGTTTTGTTCCAAGGGTCTATAGTATGGCGATAAAGCATTGATTTCTTACAAAAATTGGTAGAATATTATAATTGCCGCTCAATTATTTCAATAGCAGCTATGCTTCGGATGTTAACGTTTCACAGGCGGCTCTCGCAACTCCACTTTTTTCGAAGTCTCTGTTGGCGAAAGTGCGGCTCGGTCGGTGAAAGCTTTCAGGTGGAAGTAGGACGCCACTGTACGCACACGCACTCGCTCAAGGCTAGCGGTGACGTGTTTACTGCGCGCCTCACGGTCAAGGTCACCACAGGCCGTTACACCGATTACACCGGACAGATTCACCGGAGGACAGCAGGGCAGAGTTTGTGAACACCTGGGCTGTGTCAACACCCGTAGTTGGAAAATCATGAAATGTTTAACGTATTACAGTAACATTTTATTTCACAATAACAGACATTTAAGGTACATATTACAGTAAATGCTATTTTCAAACTAAAGACTTTTTATCACAATTCAGTTAGAGGT